AAACACACATTGTAGTCATTTACATACGGTACGTACATGTTAAATAATCAGGTACGTTACCTAATTTCCGCATCCTCTAATACAATACTTATGTATTATGTATACAGACATGTATACAGACAATGTATACAGACAAACTGGATAGATAAAGAATTTATTCTGCTCCTACTACTAGTCCTAAGCACAATAAATCATTTACCTTTCCTTTTTCGTGCTGTATTTACGTATATGATGGACGAACAAAAAAGTCGAACGAAACTCCCTGCTAAAACAAAACTGAGTCTGGTCTATGTGTGGGTATTCACGTTTGCGCGTGTAATGGTAATGGCTAAGTAATGTGTGAATGTGTCCGGGCTTGTAAGCACGACGACCATTTTAAAAACCAGTTTATACGGATCTCTCATTGTACGGGAAATAGATACAAAGCGAGACCATTGTATACTGGAAATTTCTAGCTTTATGTGTTTACAGTTTTTTACTAGCGAAAATCTGTCTGACTTTTTTTTCGTCCATGAGGTACTTGTATATATGAAATAATAAAAAGCTAATGCATGTTATAAATAATTTCCATATCGTCAAAAATAACGCACGCACGGTACATAGATTGGTAAAAATACTACACAAATAAATCTCCGAGGCCAAGCGTTACGTCCGTACTAGACAAAGCATGTAATATAATAAAGTAATACGGTACTAAATGTAAAACTATGGCTATGCGTACGCGAGGACATATTTGCGAGACGCGCGCGTGCGATTCCATATTATTGTCATGAATGGCTCACTAGCGGATAACGGTCTTACGGTCTACCGCCCGCGAGTGAGCGGCAAAAGTTACCGAATGCTAACCGATCGCCCAGGCGCTATCTCTCTCTTTTCGCTTTGCCTCTTTTTCTAACATTGCGCTGGATGAAACAAGCTTTTCAACTATACTCGCGTTGACGATAGACGGGCCGGGAAGGGCCCTCTTAGATAACACACTGTTCACTTTTACAGATTATTATGTACATAAATAATAATAGTAACAGTATTTGCACGGTAGGGCGCATTATATAATCCTTGTTGTTTTATTCTTATACTGGATGATTTTTTACCGCCTGGAAAAAATAGAGAGTAACACATGAACGGAATAGAAGCCTATGGCAATGGTTTTTCCCAATTTTTTTTATTTCACATTAATATATTGTTAAATTAATCTATCAATAAATACTACTAATTTGAAATAAACTTTCGGTACTAAAAGTATAACAACAAAATTTCCGAACTAAATAAATAAATCAATTAAAAACTATCGAAATTAAAACGTACGTAAAAATACGTACTAAATGTAGTATTTATTGATAGATCAATTTCATAGTATGTTAATACAAAAAAATGTAAAATATCAATTCCATAGCCTTCTATTCCGTTCATGTGTTACATCCTATTTTTTAAAGACGGCAAAAAATATCCAGTATTATGTAACTTAGACAAATTTTGACCAATTTTCCAATGGTGATAATGCATACGTAACGGATGCACGGACGGGATGGGGACGTGGCATTACCGGGACGGGAAAAGTATCGTCGACGCCGATGTTTACCCCGTCCCGCCCGGCGCATCCCACGTCGCGTCGTTGGCTCCGCAGTGATGCGCGTGTCGTACCGAACAAAATGGACTACGAAAAACTGATTAATCTTGCACACTATCTTGTACACAAAAAATAAATAATTTCTGTGGCGGAAAATTGCAGTCGAATTACCCCTCACTGCAAACGGTTAGTATAAATTTTATTTTTCATTTATGTTGTCATACGAAAATACATATAAAATTAAGTTTTTTCATCCAAATGTTCTTTGTAGAGAGTTGTGGTATTCACCTTCTAGTCCTCTTTTGGGCCACGTAGGAAGTACCGAAAATCTCGTTTTACTATTGACGGTTGTAGCTTCTTCATCATCTAAAGCAATAGCAATGAATGTCAATTCTTCAAATGAAAAATACATCCTTCACAACATGCATTAAACTCCCTTCCGTGTTGACATACGACATACGTTCCGTCTCCGTCCCGTGTTGATTCCGTTCTGTATGTTGCGACCTTTAGGCCGGTTTTAGAGCTCGACCGACCGTCAGTGCGTACCATCGGTCCTGATAATACGCATAACCGATCGTCAGTTTTTAGCGTTCAGAGCTCTCCTGATCAACGAAACTGGCCGGACTGGTACAGTTACAAATACGTACATGAAATGCACGCCTTTACAAATTGTTCAATTGCTCCTTACAACGAGGGCGGCACTGAAAATTTCGGAAATCAAGGACGTGACACAACATTACTATTTAAAAATGTATTTAATGCTTTTCGAAGTATTCTCCGCAAAATTTGACACATTTTTCCATACGATGGAACCAATCATTGAAGCAACCATTCCATTCGGAAGTTGGGGTCTCCAAAATGGCCGTTTTGTAGGCATCCACAGCTTCTTCAGTTGATGAAAATCTCTGTCCACGCAATTTATTCTTTATTTTAAGGAAAGTATAGAAATCATTAGGGCTTGGGTCGGGGCTGTACGGCGGATGGTCTAATAATTCTATGTTTTCTTGCTCTAAAAACTCTTTTGTTCTGTGTGCGGTGTGAGAACTCGCATTGTCGTAATGGAGGATGATGCGGCGGTTGCAGTTCTCTTTACGGAGTTCAGAATCGACCTATGGCAAACAAATGCTAGCATACCATTCTGCATTAACCATTCTTTGTCCCTCAAGAGGAATAGTCGTAACATTTTTTTTGCAACACTCCGTGAACGAACAATTTTTGTTGGCTTTAACTCATTTTCGAACACCCAAACTCGTGACTGGTTTTTTGTTTCGGGTTCGTACGTGTATATCCAGGATTCGTCACCTGATACGATGTTGTATACAGCATTTGAGGATCTTGCGTGGAATCTTTCGAGAGTTCTGACGCACCAAGTAACGCGAGCCGCTTTTTGCTCTTCACAGAGAAAATGCGGTATCCATCGGGAAAACAACTTTTTTACACCTAATTGTTCATGCAAGATTATTTGTATTTGACTCATGCCAATTTCTAAAGTTGCCTGAACTTCGCGGTATATCACATGTCGATCTTCCTCAATCAACTTACGCACAGCATCAACGTTTTCTTGGGTGATTGCAGTTTTTGGACGACCTTGCGGGGATCATCACTGAGCTTGAGACGTCCACGTTGAAATTCAGCAAATCAGCGATAAATTGTGGTTTTGGATGGGGCTTCATCACCAAATGCAGAAATCATCCGGTCAACACACTCTTTTTGTGTTAAACCACTTGGAAAGTCATAATAAATCATCGCTCTTGAATTTTCTCGCGTCAATTCCATTTTCTCAACTGCTAAACAAGTTTGACAAAACCTTGTGACAAGACCGATAATCTTTTTTTAAATTAATAAATGGTATTCGGTTTTTAAAACCAAGGAGTTTTCAATTAAAAAGATTTTAATATGACAGGAACAGTGGAAATATTCCATTCCCGATACTTTTAGTGCAGCCTGTGTATGTTCGTAAACGTATAAGGAACAGAAGACGTAGATATCAGGTTCATCAAATCGTTACTACTTTATATTCATTATAGCGCGAAGATGAAGAAATTTTTTTTTAATTACTTTAGAATGTCAATCAAAAGTTTTGATAAATTATCAGTGAAATTACAAGACAACTTAAAACATCTGCGGGGCGTTCGGTGTCATATGCCATGTTTGATAAAAATTACTTAAATCACTAACACTAATTAATACCTATAAAATCATACAATATTATTAAAGTTTAGGTTCGATTTTCTTGACGATAATACACGCATCCGTACGGTTGGTGTAGCACTGAACGCGTCTATATGTTTCCGTAGCGCGTCGGTCGACCGACCGTACGCATGCGGACGCGCTTGACCGACGATCCTCGTACGCAGTGCGTAGCAATATACGCGTGCGTACGGTCGGTCGAGCACTGTAACGACTTGTGAATTTCAATACAAAAGGCAAGCGCGACCGACGTACGCACCGACGGTCGTCGGTCGAGCTATAAAACCGGCCTCGGCAAGTATCTTTCCATACATGAACACAATCTATGAAAGTCCCACCGCTGAACTTAGGCCATAGATTTCATTCGGGGGATTTTACCACAATTGCCACGCTTGGCTGGCGGGTTGGCTGGCAATATTTAACTCATACTTATTATCTTTGTTGAAATATATTTATATATTTATTAATTATCAATTATAATCATTAGCGACTAAACTTTATTGCGCGTGCATTATGATTGGTGATTTTGTAGCTCTCGATAGCTTATAATTAGCGTAATGTAAGTTTATTTGTTACCAAGACGGAATGCCAACGCGGTGTGATTTATTTTTAGGTTTTATTTTTGTGTTTTAGTATTCTAACTCACATTCCCGCCAGATTGACAAATATAGATTATTGTTTCCCGAGTTACGTATATTTTATGGCGCCTCGCGTACTTTTTAATCGTGAGTGCAAAGATTTTATCAAAAATGTTATTTAATTACCGTATTTTATACCGAAAATCATTGCTTATTAATATAGTAACAAAACTACTAAATTATACTTTTATACATTTTTAAATTAAAAAAAATTATATTTTATAGGTTTTTTTTTAATTTGGGTGAAATTTAGTACTTAAATAATGTTTTACTTTACCTACAAATTTACGTATTCCGTCTATTCTGAAAATAGTAAATTTTTTAATTTCGAGCAAAGTTCGGTCAACCAGGAACTATAAAATTATACACACATCATAGAACCTGCAAAGATGATTAGAAAAATAAAGAATAAAATAATATGTTTTGCCGTCGCGGTCACGCTATGTTGACGCACATTGACCCCGAGCAAGTTATGGTTATTGGTGCGGGACGCGAGTGTGAAATCGCAAACTTTTTTTGGCTCAATAACCACTCCTAAGGATAATCCGCCATTACTAAGGATAAAAATTTTTATATTTTATATTAGTTATTGTCTATTTTTATAGGTGGAGTTTTGGTGTCTTTCGCAAAGGATATAAGCAAGGCCTTACAATAGAAGATCTGTTTCAAGTGCGTGATGGCGATCACTCCGGGCGACTCGGCGATCGCTTGGAAGAGGCGTGGCAAAAAGAACTTGATAACGCTCGTCGCAATGATGTAAAACCTTCACTTGTGAAAGCTATGATAAGGGCCTTTTGGCTTGAATATATGTTATGTGGGTTTTTGACTGGAATATTATTTATTATTGTATGGTGAGCCTGATTTAATTTAATTTGACTAAGAGTAGAGGTAGTTTGGGTGACGTTTAATTGATGCTCGTTCATTAAAAAAAAAAAAGATTATATTGTTTAAATAGTGATTATAAGCTAATATTTCAATATAGGTTTCATTATGTATTTGAACGCCTTAACGTTTTATAAAATTCAATAATCAATTGTGTAAAATAAAAATTTCATTCTTATTTCAGGCCGTTAGTTCCTTTCACTCTGGCATTATTTATAGGATATTTTTCCGATGAAAATACTCCAGAAAATTATAGAAATGCTCATATTCATGCCTTTCTTATGAATTTATTTAGTATTTCAACATGCCTTATGTTGAATCATGCACAATTAGCTCAAAGTTGCGTTGGAATGAGAGCAAGAGTTGCTTGTTGCTCTTTACTGTATAGAAAGGTTAGTTCATAGGCGATCATAAAAAACATGTTACAAAATTTTAAATTTATTTTTGAGTACAGAACTATTTATAAAATTTTAATTGCAGATATTGAAACTCAGTCATTCTGGTCTGGGTCAAACTGAACCGGGACAGGTGATAAATTTAATGTCAAACGATGTTAACCGCTTTGACATAGCAGCTCCATATTTGCACTATTTATGGGTTACGCCGATCGTGGTACCAGTAGTATCGTATCAATTGTGGCAGCACGTTGGCCTGGCGACACTAGCAGCGCTTGCCGTTATATTTCTGCAGACTGTTGTTGTTCAAGGTATGATTAAAAAAATGACTTCACTATCATATTACCCATCATTTAAGTCTATACACGGGCTTTTTGCTTGATATGCAATAACAACTGTGCTCAGCACACAATAACTCTAGCACAACTTAAGGCGAGATAGCGGTGGCTTATTTGCATTTTAATGGCTGGACTACATCGTATAAAGTAATAGTGTATATAATTTACGTTGACCGCAAAAATAAAGTATTAATCTACGGGCATGTCGTGTTATATACAATACGCTAGATGACTAGAGACTAGATTTTTATGAATTTATTACTTATACGCTAGATACTTAACGCTAGATGATTAGACCTTTAATTTCCTGGACAATTCTAGAGTAACAGGGTCGGGGCGTAGCAGAGGAATATAAAAAATATATGAAAATAAATAGTTATTTAACTAAACCTCAATAATGTTTGGCCCGCTCTGGCCTCGCCTGGGCGGGATCTATTAATGTGGCTTTATTTAGACTGAAGGTACCTAATCACTAATCATTAAAGACCATTTTTTTCATCTTATTAGTATTTCTATTTCAATAAAATCTCTAAATTTTTCCGATAAAATTTACTCTAGATTAATCCTGGTACTACTCTCCATAGAATTATTAGGCTTAGAACCGCAGTAGGCGCACGCAAAGTGAAGCCATTTCAAGTTAGCCTTTAAAGGCTACGTACGACTTTCAGCGTGTCAGTATACGAGTCCACGTACTCGTAGTAGTGTAAAGAGCTCGCGCAATTTTGCAAAAAAATGGCGTACTGTGCTGTTAAAGAGTGTCAACTCATCACATAATCATGAAAAAAATTTAAAAATCTGATTTCACGGGTCAATACCGCCTAGCATCTTATATTTTTGTAAAAAACATTCATCAAAACAAAATAATAGATCGTAAATTTGACAGATGCCAATATAACGAAAATGTTGCTAGGCATAGTAAAATATTATATTATTAAATTATTTATTAAAATATTACATTATTACCCCATATTTTCTTATTATTGTAATTACATGCTGCCAATATGGGACTATTATTGTTGTATTTTTATTTGGCAAATAAAAATACCTACAATATTCACGCATAATTACGTATTTTGGTAATTTTATACTATCGCGGTCACCTCGTTTTTTGGCTTTAGAAAATCAAAAATCATCCGATTTCCATGATTTTTTTTAAATATCTTCATCTTTGCGGCGGATTTATGTAAAAAAATTTAGAAAAAATCTCACCTCAAAATTTCATATAGTTTTATGACTAAATGTGTTCATAAACGAACTTCTTCGAATATAATCGTTCATAACTTTTTTGAAAAGCGTTAAACGCAGTTTGTATATTTTTTTCTTAATCTACACAAAAACAAATATTTAAAAAAGGCATAGAAAAATGTTTGTTTATTAATTTTATATCTCACTAAGTTTTGGACTTTAAATCTTATCATAAACGCTCTAGAAAATCGAAAAATCATCCGATTTCGATGAGTTTTTTTTTAAATCTTCGTTTTTACGGAAAAGATCAAAATAAAAAAGAATTAACTATGTATTATATTCAACAATAAATCAATAACTTATATTATCCTCGAAAAAATCTTATAACAAAATAAAAAAATATGCAATCTTTGACTGTGTGTGACCTTTAAAAAAAATGAAAAAACAATTTGAAAAAAAAAATCACATAATAATATTTATCTATTAATTTTTTAGCGTAGCGAGCTAGGTACTTTGGGCACGCCGGCTCGGACACGCTAGGTTAGAAGGAGATCCTATCGCCATCTCCTTCGTGATTATTTTTTTATAAACCACTCCGAAGTAGGAGCCCTGTAGGTAGGGCTTCGTCGACCGGGCTTCCCTCGACTGCACTACGTTGAGTGGCGTGATGCTTCCCTCCTCTAACTCTCTCCCGACTCTGAGTGGTTTATAAAAAAATAACCTCGAAGGAGATGGCAGGGTCTATTCGCTCGCTTTGCCGCCATCTCCATCTAACCTTACCTTTCCGAGTTGGAATGCCCTAAGTCCCTTATTCCTTTCCTTCCTTAGTCCCTTATTTGAATTTAAAATTACCTGCCTACTTCAATTATACGTATTGTATATTTTTATAATATGAAAACAACCGAAATTGATCACATCGCTTTTACTTATTGATTAATTTAAACTTTGGTAGACAACTAACATACATTTTTATCATTCGTAAAAACTTTAAAAGATAATAGGAGCTCTGTTGCATATTAATTAAATTAAACTTTGGTAATTAATAGAATCAGGTGTTGCTTTGCAGAAATCCAAAGTTAAGGTTGGTAAAAATTACTTTGCTTATGCCCTTAGGTAATAAAAGTCATGTTTCGTCGTATTATCGACAGTAGAGTGTTTTTCATAGTATAATGGTGTTAGGAGTAGTGGTAATAACTGGGATTAGTGGTGACGGGGATAGTGCAAGCAATTGTGGGAGGGCGGAGGTGCGCTTAGAGCTAGGTATAACACATCATTTTATTTCACTACGTGAATATAAGCAAAGTAATTTTTACCAAATTTAATAAACTATGAAACATATATAAACTTAAAATAAAAATTTAACACCTCCTTATTGCTGTTTCATTAAGTATACTTTGGTAGGATATCTCGTAACAAAAATAAAAAGCCTCGCTTTGAATTATAAAACTCTTAACAGACTAGTTTTTTAAAATATTTATCTCTGGATTTTGTCATTTTTATTAGTTTTTCTCCGTCAGGGCTTCACAAAACTGATAAATATACTGGCAACTCCAGTTATACTTTTAATTTTGTGGGAAAAAAACTAGTAGATTTTCGGAATCTGGACAGGAAAGTCTAATTACTGGACGCAGGACAAGATATAAAATTCTAGGACATTACCAGATTTCCCGACTCTTTGGAAAGCCTAGACATGACGTAGTCACTTCAAAAACACGTGAAAACTTCCATGCGATATTCAAACTCTATTTGAATAAATAATATGTATTTGTGTTTCCTCACACTTTGGTAATTAACATAATCAAAATTCTTAAACTAATTATATACGAGTACGTTTATAATGTATTATTTCTTAAGTCCAATACTGGACTTTGGACGTTGTAAGGAAGTTAACGTCACGCTTGGCAAGCGGGCTGACAAAATACTCGTAGTCAGGCGACAGGCACCAGTCTGAGCAATACGTATATGGACGTTTCGAAGCCAAAGATTAGATATATTTCAGGAACACTTCAAGGGAATTTATAGAGCCGCTACTTTGCTGAAATCCATTATAGTGAAGAGAGATCTGCGGGTATAGCAAACAGTCTGGGGGTAGGGCATTTGTTAAAAGACAATCAACCTCTAAAGATGTAATGACTGTAAAAAGATGTATATCCTAAATCCATTTGTGTCATGTATTATCGAACGAACATTTTTGATTTTCGAAATATAATCTGCTTATACTCGCAGATCCTTTTCAGATCAGAAGATTGGCTTTTCAAAATCAGCAATTAAATAAAAGAAATAAAGGTCATTTGCTATTTTTGGTGTTCTTTTCAACCTCAAAGTGTTAGTCGATTTGCGGTTTGACGTAAGTTTATATAATGATTTCTTATATTTACGCGAACACTATATCTTAAAAAATAATATTTCGCTAAATATTGGGCGGTGGTGTGTTATTCCAAATGCAGTGGTGTTGGTCATAGTAGTGTCGGGGTTAGTGATGACGATGATAGTATACGCAATTGATTGGTAACAGGGAAGCGCACCACATATTTAACATAGCCCAATTATAATCCGATAATAGCTTTGAGCAGATTTTGAAGGAATCAACCAGCACGTCACCTGTGTCGATCTTTATACTATTCAAACTGTTTAGTACTGCGGGAGTTCATAGCTCTTCTTCACTTCTGTTTATTCCTTTTTATTTTCTACTGACATGTACGAGGGAACATAAATTTCTTTTTTGGGTCATGATGAAAATTAGCCTTATAGACATTGAAATGTTATTCTTTCCGAAGGCACAAAGAATCCGCGAAAATTGACCCTGGGTCAGGAGTCAAAACATGTGCAAATTGAAAGGAAGAGACGAGAATCAGGGGATTTTCGTTGCCCTAACGTTCTCGACGTTAGTGCAATTCCCCTGACCAAAGCTTAGATAATCATGTTTGACCTTATTACCCGTTAATTTTAAACGTCATAGATTACGTGCACTGGGTAATGATACTGATACTGTCAAAGTTATCCTAGTTATTATTCATTCCAAGTAGGCAATTGAATTTTTTTTCAAGAAGTAACTAATTGTTTTAATAAAATAGTTACTATTTAATTACAATAGAACTTTAACTTACGTGATTTTTTATAAGGAATAAGGGTGAAGAACGATCGAACTTAAGAAGGTACTCAGTTCACCTAATGACAAGTGGATGTTGTAACATATAGGTATAAGCTGCTGTTTTACGCTGGTGTTCTGTGATCCTCGTAAAACCACTCAAAAATAAAAATCAAATTCAGTGAAAACTTCTGACTGCCTTGGTCTGCAGCGTGACCTCAATGAACTTGAACGATATTGTTCACGCAATAAACTTGACTTGAATGTGTCCAAGTGTTTATCCTTACTTTTACCCGTAAACCCAATCCCAGTATCTCACTACAAATTACAAGATCCTACTATAAAGAGATTACAGTCAGTAAAGGATCTTGGTGTATTTTTCGATTCTAAATTACTTTTTGATGCACATATTGACAATATCATTAATAAAGCAAATAGAGCACTTCGATTCGTTTTGAGATTTTCCACTGATTTTCATAATATTAAAACATATAAGATACTTTATTGCGCTCTTGTTCGCAGCCATTTAGAGTACGCCTCCCTCCAATTAAAACATTTATATAGATAGGATTGAGCAAGTACAAAGGCGTTTTCTACGTTTTCTGCAACTTAAGACGCAATTTTACACTAATAACTACATTTCGCGATGTAAAAAATTTCATATTTTGCCTCTGCACGAACGTAGGCGCATAGCAGATATGATTTATCTTTTTAAATTGGCAAATGGTAATATTGACTGTTCGGAGCTACTGAGTAAATTAGGCTTTACAACAAGTGCTACCCTATTAAGAAAGCCTCGCTTACTCCACGTGCCGCATACCCGGAATAAATACAGGCAAAATTCTTTTATGATACGTGCGTGCAGAACTTTTAACGACATTTCCAATAGCGTTAACTTGGATCTGTCAAAGAATATATACACTACGCGAAAAGAAACGACACTTAAGCGACGCTTGCGGCTATGTGTGGGTGTCTGGATGTGTGCGGGGGCCTTGAGAGGCGCGCGGGGCGTGGAACGGGCAGTCGCCGACTGCCCTGGCCGAGGGCTAGTAGTAATACCGATATTTGTCAGTATTAGTTAATATGAATATATTCGCCAAGTGATATAATATTTCAATTAATATATGAATATTACCGATATCTTAATGTACATATTACTATTCTATTCATGTAGGTATTAAGTTTATGTTACCAAGTAACGTTATTAGTTTTTATAGCCGTGTATGCTAGGTTTATATGCTTTGATAAATATTTTTGTTTTTATTAAATAAATGATATTATAGTATATGTATAAGTATTACTGAAAATCATTTTAAGTGATTACAATTAAAATAAATTCCACTGCACAAAACAAGGGCCCTTGTTTTGTTAGTTTAATTTTTAATAATGTTTTATGATACCTAAAAATATGTGAACTCATTTTAATGAAAGTCGATATACTCTTAACAAGAATTATGGGGAAATACCATGGCAATAAAACTAATATATCGGCAATAATTTTATTATATTACATTAACTGAAATATACACTATTAAAATACCACTAGAGAGTCAAGAAATTTTAGATATCTATAAAGAGTTTTTGTATTTGTCAATTCTTGTATTTATGGATTATTTCATTAGAAATAGAAATGACTTATCTCCTCAACACATAGGGAACAATTTGTTGGCCGATGTCCCAGGAAACCTGCATACCTTTGGATTTTCTAAAAAAAATATACATGCTACGAATTTTTGCAATTGTTAGAAATAATAATGAAAATTAAAAAATGTATCGAAAAATTACAAAATAAATATGAGTAAATTATTTTTAAAGGATAGTAGGTAATACTGATTATTGCGTACTGAAATACTAAATGTTGGTTAATTCTTTAAGATTACCATTAACTGTCGTGCGTATTTGGTTTTGTCGGAAGTTTTAATATTCTTCATTTAATAAAAGTTGATTTAAAATTGAACGTATCTTTCACTATCTAAATACATAAGTTTACATAATATGTAACACATACCTACTATTATCTTCTTTGGTACAAGTCTATAATATTTCATTTCGGATCGATATCAACCCTAGCGTTACACGCTTCGACTCAAGGTCACCGGCGCTTAAGCTCTCACGTACAGGGAGTGTCACCGTTGTGGATCTGTTTAGCACCAGTGTTTCTCGAATAAAAAATATTTTAGCGAAAAATTCTTTTGTTGAGTGTTTTTCTGCTTAATTTAGTTAATTTACTGTATTTCTCTTAATCCATGTTTATCTTTTACCGACTAGAATTATTGTTTTTAAGTTCATATTGTCTATAGGTGAAAACTTTTAAATGGCCTTCTAGTTGTTATTCATTTATTTACTGTTGATGTTAGCTGTAAGTTTTCCAATAAGAATAAAATAAAATAAAAATAAAATAAAACAATCAAACTTTTCAGTTTGAAATGACTGATGATTGAAATGACTGATGGTATATGTTAGACTGAAAACTTTTTTTGTGAAGAACGTTAGGGAAGATACTTCGGAACTGATGTTTCATTTAAAATTCGTTATGTAAACTTTTTTAAATGTCGTTATTATGTTTTTCTTTGTAAATAATATTTTTATAAATATTTCTTAAGTTTAATTGCTTTTCAAACTTTTGCTAATGATGACGTCACTGTGTGGGCTGATGAGCAAGCATCAAGCATCAGAAAGTTATATTATATTACACATAATATAATCGCAGCTTTTCGTGTATTATATTACGATTGATGAATTCGATGAACATACATCAGTGGTAAAGTACAACCATAATGAAGTTGACCCATATTTTGTTAATTACGCAAATTGCATTTCGTGCTGGCCAATAAAATTATTCCATTCAGGCATTTTGCATCTCTTAGTAAATATTAAGGTCAAGAACATAAAACATCATAATTCACAAGTAAGCTATATTATTCGATTGGCTTTGCGAAAGTTTTCTCGATCTAAGAAATGTGTTGAGTCTTGGTAGGTTTCAATGGAAAATTAAAATAGGTTTGTTGTTTTAATAATCTTTTTCATAATTTAAATATGATATTGCGGTGATCTTGTTCTTTATGAAAGGGGAAAACGTTCTATTGAAGAACTCCAGACTGATTACCTTCCTGAGTCTCGCACGCAGACTTGACGACTTCCAGCCGCCCGAATAAGGCAGTTTTCAAAAAAAAACTTAGCAAATTATACATATGATTGAAGAGCCCTATCGGCCACTTTATTTTATGTATGTAGACTATGACAAAGCCTTTGATTTCGTCGGGCTATTTTTGCGGCTAATAAACCTAAGTTTGATCGAGAGGTCAATCGACGGATCTAACTCGACTGGGCACCATTCGGGATACGACACATCTTCGCGTCAGTTATATCTACCGCTTAACTTGAAAAAAGTATACAACCAGTGAGTGTTGTCAGTGATGACATGTGGATCTGAGACATTGTACTTTTCTGCTATGAGGAAGCTCAACGTCACTCGGTGAGCTATGGAGAGAAAACAAATGAGTCTATTCTCAGTCAACCAGAGTAATCGACATAGTCCAACGGATCAGTAAGCAGTAGTAGCAATGGGCTGGCTAGAAGAGAGGTTCTCGAGTGGAAGCCTCGTATCGGTAAGCGAAGTCTAGGGCGGCCCTCAATTGATATAATGATGACCTGGTAATTCATGCAAAAAATCTAGATGGTGCTTCGTACCATTCCTTAAATGAGGCCTGTGTTTAGCAGTGTATATTCATAGTGTATTTGTATAATATATGATATTCTTTACCTGGAGTTTTTAGTTTCTGTGGATTAAATTCGACGCGCATTTTAAAACTTACGTTTAAAATAATATCTTAATGATAATTTTATAATTTTCAGCATACTTAAGTAACCTTCAAGGCAAATTCAGAGGCAAGATTGCTACACGAACTGATGAAAGAGTTAAAGTAATGAGCGAACTCGTGAATGGAGTCCAAGTCATAAAGATGTACGCTTGGGAGAAACCCTTTGAAAAGTTAGTGGATACATTAAGAAGGTATGTGCAGTCTAAATACAAATTCTTTTAAGAGTAGTACCAATAATATAAAACAGTTGAATAAGATTAAATCTTTCAATAAAATTTTATTGTAAAGGTATTATAATAAGGCAGTACCTAACTTACCTTTTACGGAAAATGATTTTTGAAATAATTTGTATTATTAAAGTAGATAAAGCCACGGACATATCTATGAAATATAAATTATTTGTCCTTTACCGCATTTAAAAGCATGGAAAGTTCTAAGTTAACAAGGTGAGTCTAGTAGACAACGTCGTTGGGCATTAAGGCGTGGCCGAAAGAACCAGCTCAACCTGCGCTACCCCGCACCGAAATATTTCCACAGATAAAATAATACTACTACGTAATATTGCGCTAACGTTTCGCTCGAAAAATTATAATAAAAATATACCCTACTTTCATTATTACGTGTCGACCGATAGTAAGACTATTATCGTCACCTCATCGTACTTATCATTACCACTACTATTTTTTTCTCCCATTGTGAAGATGTATGTATGTAGTTTTAAGGAAATGTATGACTACGCCAACTGTGGCAGCTTTACCATAATTTTTGACTTTTATGCAATGAAACAACATGACACTAGTTGTTTAAGTTTTTATTGATTTATTTCGTAAAAATCGTGTGTCTCTATTGGTTGAACCCATAGAATACTAAAATAGTCAATATACTTGTCTCGCTTTTTCTAATTAAATTTTCAAATAATGCAAAAAGAGACAAATATATTGAATGATGTGTAATTCATGCGTGGAAATAAAAATGTCAATTGATCATTTTTGGTCCCTTTATACTATGCCAAATATGAGAGTAAGTACACTCGTAACCTCTGACTTACTAGAAAAATGACATCCCTATTGTGGTAGTATTATATGTGACGTTACTTTACAAGACATGACTTACTTTACTTTACAAGATGATCTTTAATCTATAGTGATTTCGTTTGCAACGTTAGCAACAATCGACATCGATATACTCGTTTTTGTTTAGTTATTTATTTTTATTACCTTATTTTATGTCTAAAAATATAAAGATAAAGGTATCATTCGAACGATCAAGTAAATTGTTTTCTAAATAAAGTGATGATTATTATATAACCATTCAAATACATTCGTTTCGCAAAATTAAAATACTAATACTTAGTATTTTAATTTTTGTAGTCTTGACATACACACGGTACATAAGCAAGTTACGTCTCATTTGTAATCCCGAATTTATAAGCTGACTAGCGACCGGTTTCAACCAAAACTCCAGGACAAATTGTGAGTGTGTGTACATTAAAATCGACCCAGCCGTTTTCAAGTGATGGTGTTTCATACAGGCGGCAATTATACGGCTTAAGACATTTATTTCTCAAAAAGAATACAATTAACTTATCATGAGAAATAACAAGTTAATCATTAGATATTAAATACATGAACTTATGAAGAACGATAGGTACTTGTAAATGATCTGTTTAGTAGTGGATACGCACAATGTTCTTACTTGTTGTGGGTAATAAGAAAAGTAGGTGTACAATTGCATATAGTTATTGAAAGGAAGTCTATAGCAATTACACATTGTTCATATTTGCAAGCAATTTAGATAGTATTTTTATGTTAATGGTTATATTTTAAATAATTGGTAAAATCAAATTAATTAAAGAAATAACATTAGCTTTTTAAATAAATTATTGGTTTTTTTGTAAAAAATGAAGGACTTGATCTATTTTATGATATTTAATTATTTATAATTTATATAGATTTACCACTTGCTTAGCCGAAAACCATAAAAACTATATTTTATATCCATATACATTATATACTATATTCAACAAAGCTTTATCTGCTTGGATGAAAATATTTCGAAATCATGAAGTTAAGGCAAAATCTTGATAATACCGTAGAGCGGTAGCGTAAAAGAAACCACAACCTCCTACTAAATAATACATATTATTACTTAGAAGCTTTAAGACCCCATAGCATCCCGTAAGTATAATAAAAGACGACATAGGGAAGTGAAACAGGGGTTAAGCAATAGTATCTTTCTGATAACGATTCAACATAATAAAACTTGCGGTTGCCAAACTACTTGTTAATGGAAAGTATTCCCCCTACGTTTAGTAGTGGACTTTTGATAGTCTGTAATTAATGAATTAATGATGGATAATATCTTGAGGGAGCAGACAGAAAAACGTGTAATACGTTCATAATCGATTTATTGGTTGATTAATTGATTTTATTTATTTATTGATCTAATGACAAAAGAGAATTCCTTCAATCCCCATAAAATCCAATGCAGTCGTATGCGTCTGTCAAATCCCGAAGCGGTCGCATGCGACCGCATCCGCCCACAGCACTTAAGGCAAATTTGGCATTATAAAATCTATACAAAATTCTCTAACCTGTGGTCTATACAAAAAGTCAGGTTTTACTTCATTACAAAAAGGCTTACAAACATTGACTTATATATTACTAGCGTAAGGACGGGGCCGACCGAACAACTAAAACGGACCAGTGCGCTGGCCCTAAAATTACAGTTTAGGGCCAACGCGAATCGGTAGACAGTGTTACGCGCGCAGGACAGATTTGCCTGTCATAAATATGTCTAGTTGCGTGGTAAAAGAATGCAAAAATTACGATACAAAGATTAAAAAAAATATGGGATATCGTATCATCGGTAAATAACCCTATATTAATTTTGTTACAGTTAAATTATTATATAAATGCATTTTTAAAGTTTTATTTTACAGTTAGTTTAGTTACGTTACCTAGATTAGGCCACGGTTAGATTCAGACCCTCAAAAATATTGTACATGGAAAATAAAATTATACTATTTTAAAAAACTATATCACGTTTGACGTTTCATGTTTCTTTTTTCCCATGTGCCGGGATTTTGTCGTCACGCCTCTACTTTATTTTCGTTTCGTTTTTTGACGCTTTTATTTTTATTTCTGTTTAATTATTGTCTAAAGAACTATGTGTAAGTTAAATTTTGAATATTGGTACTTAATATATTTTATATTCAATAAGGGTAAAACGAAAAGAGTACAAAAGAAACCATATCTGCTTAATTGAATCTGAAAATCTGATTCATAAAATATTTTGATATTCTGTTTTCAAACCGACTGCTTCTGGAGCTAGAGTTTTATCGTGGTAGCCTTTGTATCAAGGATGCAACATAAATGCATCGATCCAGCATCGATTGACCAGAAAGGGAGCTAATTCTAATTTTATTAAAAAAAAAAACGCGGTACTCATGTACAATATAGAAATTCTCGAGGATAGGGTTAATATTAAAATGTAAAAGCACCCAATAATAATACAAGTCGACCTTTAGGTAAAATTGGTATATTCACTTAGTATTATTATGATACTATATACTACAAACTATGAAATAATGGTATAATTAGGATATTTATACAATGAAATCCGACCCTGGTTACGTCGTGTTTTGATATGACGTTTGTATTATGACAGATGCGCTCTTTTACTTGTATGAAAAAGTTATGAGTAAAATATTTAAATGGGCCTATCCTTCTTTTTGAAATCATTGCTTACAAAAGAAAATCGCGTGAAAATCACTATCATTTCTCACAAAAACTTTCATACCAATTTTATAATAAAACACTATACTAAAACACTAATAAAACACTAAAAAAATCCGAAAATTAACACAACAACATCCAAATGAAAAGGGCGTACATAATGAACGTAAATTATAAATAAATATCCATAGACTAAATGACTTTTCATTGCACTAGAGGATAGAAAATTTTATGTTGATTTTATAATGCCAAACTTCTTCGTAAAAAGTAGTTTCTAAATATAATTATTTATGGGTTAAAATGCTGTGGGTGGGTGTGGTCGGATCCGACCACTTGGTATTTGACGGAATATCGCCGTGGTTGTATCCGACCATTTGGGGTTTGCGAGGTTAATCTCCCGTAGAATAGCTATAATAGCCAAGAGTATGAGCGGGGTAAGCTTTAAACATTTTAGGCAACCTTACTTAGCCTACAATTTGCATTAAACGTGTGTCCCAGAGTGCACGCGCCTTAAAGTTACTAAAAAAAGCAATGTATTTGTTTTTAAGCTACCATCTTTGTTTAAGTAAGCACTATCAATACCCTGGTAAAGTTACCCTAAGAATTATAAAATTATTTAAGAAAGGGGGCATGTTATCAGGGTTGTCAAAAATAATAAAATATTAAATTTATTTTTTAATAATTTTTATTTAATAATAATAAGAAATTGTTATAAAAACATTATTATGGAACCAAGCAATAGGAACTTTTGTTAATTCATTACATTTTTATTACATATTGTACACACACAGTAGAAAAAACTATTTTAGAAATTAAAATTTTACCTAAAACCGTAAACAATTAAATACCTATGTGTACTGTGTAATTATAATCAAAAATATTCGTTAAACAATATAAAAAATCTGCAAAAAGCTAAAACAACTATTTTGAGTAGACCTGAGCATTAGTTGATCTTACCAATCACCAATAACTTGGTCATTGAATATGTAAGTCTTGTTATTTTATTTAAGGTAGTCATAAACTGCCAGTTTTACCTCCACTTATGATAGCAGACATCCAAAGTTTAGTCAGCACTCATAATACATAACAATATTCATTTCAATTAAACAATAATTTCGCGTTTCCGTCTATCTAATTAATAACATTAATTTGAATACATGTACGACGGCCTTATATGTGTTGGTACAGTTAGATTAGTTTATTTTAGTTCTTTTAAGGTTTAAAAAGATAAGAGGCATTTTATATTTTTACACCGTATGCTACAGAACTCAGTTTGCTAGCTAGTTTATACATATGGGGGCCTTATAGAAGCTTTGCGTTTACTGTAATTCTGAGCAAAACTATGGATTCAACAAGACTCAGCTCCTACCCTTTTAAAAGACCACTGGTATTCACCGGTTTAACATTTGATGTTGACATTAAACAGTGTAATACATTTCGGCCCTTTAATTATCGTTTGAAATAAAAGTTGTCCACATCAGTAAAAGACGGCGAAACCGCCAGTGTTAGACACACAAATATTGACTACAAAAATCGCGTAGAGACTCAATATTGACTAGTTAACTTAGTTGATCTCAGAGAGAAACTCTGTTCGAAAACACCACCGTAAAGGTTTATATAACTTGCTCCGTTTTCAACGGATCAATACCCCCCCCTTCTACAGCCCCACAACATTTATTCACGGTGAATTACACGTCATATGCATAAACATAATCATGTGCGCTTCGCGCACGATTGTTCGCATGAAGTGCGAGTTTCTCTGTTGGATATGATGGAAACAAGTTTGTAACAACTGTTGATTTTTCGGCATATATCTAAAAGGTCCGTTTATCCAATGTCCTGTATAGAGTATGTTTTTAATAGGAGTAATAATGAAAGATTCTAACCAGTTCTCCAGCCTGTTAGACTTTTCTTTTCTGTTTTTACTCCCTTGATTTTCATGAGATCTTTCGTTATTTCTGTCCGAAGTTGCATGAGCATTTTGTATGCAGGGGAGTCCGGACCAGAGATCACTGTCATTGATGAAAACGTTCGCTTGGTTCAATACTGATTTTTCGGTATTTTCACACAATCTTTGAATGGGTAAATTTCTAATTTCATTAGAATATACCCACGTTCTCCCGGCGACGTGATAGTAATGTATCCGTCGTCGTCCTTTAAGGAGATACATTGTAATATTTTGCCAGTACTCTGGACCAACGAATGTGCTCGGTCAAGATCTGTGACCATAGAGTTGTAACCCTCTTCTGTATTTAGGTGGTCGTTCTCCTCCGGACCTTCCTCTGTCTCCAATGCCTCTTGACGTTGACGGTTCAGGTTGAATATCACAGTTTTGATCTTCTTGCTTTTCGTTGGTTCGATATCTACATCTGGTTCCGACTCGTCTTCCATACTCACCTGACTCTCTGTCGCTACTTGCTGTTTCTGTTTCATGTAAGTCTTGAAAGTGTTCGGTATTACGTCGTCCTCTTCCTACTCTTCCGATGTTGATGCTTTCCGCTTCTTCAATAGTGATCTCCCCTTCTGGAACAAAAATTTTTTGGCTTTGTTCCCAATAGGGGCTGTAACCGTCCTCGTTCGCGTCGATTGTGTAGTCTCGTAATCGTTGGACGTTGATGCAAGCATCGACACGTTGAGCCACTATACGAGCAGTCGTGGATAACGTGGATAAGATGGGCTTCGTGTTGAGCAATGATTAAGATTCCAACTCTTCCACTTCCTCCTGCTCTTGACGACGTTTTTCGAGCTCTAGAATCACTGTTGAGTAATGGTCGAATAATTGATTGCTCAAAACGTCGTCCCAATCCATCGTTTGGAACTTCCCAAATGTGGATAATCCATCGTCTAAGGACCACGCCTCGAAACTGTCGAAAACACAACTGCTCAATGGTTTCTTCTTATCCTTTAAATGTGTTATGAATTCTTTCATCACCTTGGTTATGTTTTGACCTATGTGATATAACTTCATGTTTTTCTCCTCCAACGCGCAATTATTTAATTTATTCCCTACCAAGTAAGGTAAGTCACTAATATAGATTAGATTAGTATTATAGATTATTATAATCAGAAAGGGGGTAAGAATTGGGACCCGAGGAACATCCATAGACACTACCAACCCGGAAGAGCTGCTCCAATTAATCCTAACGACTTGTGTTCTATTAACTAAAGTTCAACTAATAGAGCAAATTTTTATCATCGATCGTTCTAGAGGGGATTAATTGATGAGTTAAATTAACTCGCCGTGTAATTAAACTGTAACCTAAACAACGGTTGTTATTACGGGCATTATAGTCCTTATATTCCTTATATTCTAAACCATAGCTTAAGCCCAAGACTATCAATAGAACACCGTTTGTCAACAGACAGATTTAATTTTACCTCTATAATTCACCTACCTACTCACTTATATAAAATAAACAATTAGAAGTAAACAAACTTGCGTAAATTTTAATTGTTAGTCTGAATTAAATTTGGAATGGGGCTGGTTTTACATAAAAAATATATTTTTGTTTGTTAACAGATGGGAAGTGAGATACATATTGAAGACTTCTTTTATTAAAGGCTTCTCGATTGCTTTGAGCGTGTTCACGGAGCGTTTCATCCTATTCGCGGCAATCGTAGCATTCGTCTTGATGGGTGGTAATATACGAGCCGAAATAACGTTTTCTCTAGTGCAATACTTCAATCTTTTGCAGCTAGCTTGCAACATATATTTCCCAATGGCTCTAGCATTTTTGGCGGAATCAATGGTCTCCGTGCGAAGATTAGAGGTATTTTAAACAACCATCTATAAATAAATACATAATTATACTTTTGAAAACTATCTATAGATTTCTATCCATTCCTTTTCCAGGAATTTCTCTTGTTGGACGAACTAAAATCATTTAAAGCTAAGGAACTTTCATTTGATTCTAAAGGCCTCATTACTAATGGCGTGGGTAAAGAAAAACAATCGGAGAAGGCCAAACCAAATCCAACAGGATTGACACTGACCAACATTAGTGCCAGTTGGTCAAAGAACGCTATCGTAGAGACTTTGAGAAATATAACGTTGAATGTAAAACCCGGAGAGTTTGTAGGTGTTGCCGGACTTGTTGGATCAGGAAAGGTTGGCATTATAAGAATTAAGGTTGAAATGAATGAACTGTTATTAACATAAAAGATAACAACTTTTTTTTAGAAATACATAACTTGAGGGAGAATAGTCAAAACTATTTCATATTTTACATCAAAGTCTATTTTTTAATCAAAGTTTTTAAAATAAACAAAATAAATTACATCAAAGTTTATTATTAATTTTAGTGATTATCTGCATCAAAATTTCAATCCTTTATTTTTGCAGTCAAGCCTATTGCAACTAATTCTGGGTGAGTTAGAAGCATCGCACGGGACCGTCTCTTTAGGCGGTGCGCGAATATCGTACGCCAGTCAGGAGCCCTGGCTGTTCGTCGCTACCGTGCGTCAGAATATTCTATTTGGACTGCCCTACGATCGCGTGCGTTACAAAAAGGTAATAATGACATTTGTATTGACTAGGCTGGCCGCGCCTGGGGTCTTTTAAATTAATTACCAACCTCGTTTTATTTTATGTCCTTCGTACTTAATCCATATAATTTTTCTTACTTAAATACTATGGTTCAAAGATTAATTTAATATATTTAAATTACAATCAGTAAATATTTTTCCCGTTTAATAAATTGACTGACATCTTCTAAAGTTATTAATGCATAAAAAGTATTGCAATTAGCTTAATAAATAATATGTCTGTAATATGTGTAACAGAAATCAAATTAAATGGAATTAAGATTTTTATCATAAAACTATTACGTGGCTAAGAGCTAGCGCACACTGGTAATTTTTGTCACCGTGACTGTTTCGTCACTCATATTAACTCATATTAAGACTTAATCCAAGAAGTTACAAGGACATTATCCAAGGACTTAATATGATAACCTAATATAATATATGGAGATGAGAGTATGTTACGACGTGACGACTGGGTGACATTTTTGTACGCTGATCGGCGAACAAGCCCGCGACAAAACAGCCACCGCACCGTTTAGCTTTGTCACAAAATGACACACTTTGAGTGACAAAATGGTCACTCTCCGCGTCGTTTGTTCACTATTTGCATTACGACCAGATTTTGGAGCGTGCAAAATGGTGTCACCATCTACGTAAAACGTGAGTGTTTATGAAAACTATTTTTATAGGATAAAGGTTGTCATCTTTATCCTATAAAAAATAGCGAGCACACAGTCCACCTGATGGTAAGTGGTTGCTGTGGCGCATAGACATCTACATCTATCCTCGTAAGCTATTCAAAATGCAGATGCGTTGTCAGCCGTGAGGACTATATTGAACGCCTCTCTTCCAGTAAAAAGGGTCTAAGGTTCCCTTCACTCACCATACGAAACACACCAACATTATGCTACTATTTTACGCTGGTATTTTTTGAGGGCGTGGTCCTTCTCTGGTCAAGCCGACCCATTCGTGCTACAACTATATGATTAATATAGCTGCATTATAGCTCTACCACGTACAAAACGATATTGATAATAATGTACTTTTAGAAGAATTCGAAAAGAGACCAACACTTTATGATAAAAAGTTGAAAGAGTATTCGGATAATAATTTGAAAATTAAAGCGTGGGAAGGAAATAAGCAGATTAATATTTTCCAATGTTTGGGGTAATTTGTCCCCACAAGAAAAAACTGAAGCTGGTAGCTTTTACATTGTTATTTCTATGTATCTATATTGCATACAAATATTTTGTTACTTAGGTACCTACATAACTAAAACAAAATTGCACTTCGGAAATAGCAGATGTTTAGTATTTTTAGTCCTCATTCTGAATCCCACTATCGAACTTGTAGGTAGTTAGGTACAATTGAATGCACATTTTATTTAGCATTTTTTCTCCTTAGTCTGATGAGTTCACAGACAACGACCGCCTCTTCGAAGTCCATGTCGGCAAATAGCGCTTTAATTTAGAAAAAAACTGTCACTGTCACCCTTCGTGAGCGTACTCCGTTTTGGAAACGTGACGTGACAATCACAAAAACTTTAATGTCACGGTGACAAAAATCACTAGTGCGCGCTGGCTCTTAATAACATAGATAAACAAACATGGAATGAACAATTTTACTTATGTGTATTTATTAAATGAAGTAAGAAATATAATATTTTATGAGCAAGTAAATTTTTTGACTATGCTCAATACATTACTATACAGTAGAATTTTTTTAAATAAATGATTCATATTAGGTCGGGGAAAAAGTTTCTTCGTATTTTTCATACAAATTCTAAACATTTTTTTTTTCAAAGTTTAATTACATTTAATTATTAAATGTGTATGTTTCTTTTTGTTCAATAGCTTGTTGCCATCTTGTAGATAGGGACAAGCCCGTTGCTGTAGAAATCTTGGGATTTTTGATCAAAAAATGCGACAAGTAGTTTTAATAGTCCCTATTTATAGGAGAGGGGCAAACAAGCATACGGCTCACCTGATGTTTAGTGATTACCACCACCTATGAGCAACTGCAACGCCAGGGGAATCGCAAGTGCGTTCCCGGGCTTTTAGAAAGGAATATGCTCCTTTCTCGAAGGTCCCTAAAAGTCGTATCGGTCCGGAAAAATTTCTGATCTAAGTTAACATCAGAAGTCTCTTTTGATGTTAACCTAACACTAGCCAAAGAATTCTGAAGAGACCGAAACAGGTTAAAATCTAAGGTTGCAGGGTCATGATTATATGGTGAATGCATCAACACTTTCCAACCAAGCTCTCTCAATCTTTGTTAAGTGGCCAAAGTTGTGTGTGTTCTAGCGTTATAATTATGTCAGACCACTCCTTTTCTGTTGATCAATTTCGGCTGCTTTTCCACAATTTCTTGCTTGAGTCTCATTAGTTGTTGGCAATCGAGAAAAAAATCGATGGTTTTGCTCGGCGGTAAAGGCTCATAATTAAAGATGCTTTTCAAATTCCACCATATACATATACATACCATCACCTTATTGCGTGTTAATCCGGGTTTCTACAGCCTGTGAAGCTCAACTACCCTTTGACCGCGATCTTTTTCGCACGTTCTTGTCGTAGGTGATCCACTTTACACTTTTCAACAGTGATCAACCCTTTCAAAAATGGTCTTGTCTCATAACGTTTCAAAAGAGCATCACAAATGAGTACATGATTCATTCTTTCAGTGAGCTCATGTGGTACCCAAATATCGAGCTTTTTTTAGAGCCAGACTTTTCAAATGAGTCATAAGTGTTTAGTGGTCAATTCTTAATTTCTCGACTATGTCGTAAATATGTTTATATATTTATGTGCCGATCATGCTCCACTTTTTCAAAAATGGTATCGACTTTAGCCGTACGAGGGCCAGAGCGAGTTGCATCTTTGACACTAAAATTCCCGGACTAAAAACGCTTGAATTATTTTTGTGCCACTCTTGCTGACATTGCACTAGGTTCATAATCGTCACAATTTTTTTACGGCTTGAGTGGCATTTTTCCCTTTTTTTGTAATAAAACTTCAGAATATATCGAATTTCTTCGTTAGACTCACTCATTTTGGCGGACAAAAACAATTGAAAAGTGGTGGGAAAGTGTTCTTTAGTTTTATTTTTCTTTTCTTAATGTCCTATATGTATTGATATATAAACCGGCCAGATACAACCAGTACAACCAAAGAGATATTTATTTAATTTTATACAAACAAAATACGAAGAAACTTTCTTTTTTCCCAACTTATTATTATATTTAATATTTTACTCGCATGTTTAAACTTTTTTCGTTTTATATAATTATTATTGTAAGTTGATAGGCGATGTATAATTGTCAATAGGTAGTTTCGGCATGTGCATTACTTCGTGATTTTGAGTTGCTGCCGGCTGGTGACGCAACATTGGTGGGTGAACGTGGCATCAGTTTGAGTGGAGGCCAACGTGCCCGTATTGGTCTAGCCCGAGCTTGCTACAGACAGGTATGCTTAAAAAAGTCTTAATTGTAAAAACCATTATATAAACATTATCATCATTACAGCCCTTCACAAGTCCACTGCTGAACACAAGCACAAAGCACGGTCATGAGCCACCTGCAGCCATCAACTTCCTGCATGTCTTACCGGTAGGCCTTGTTGTCCCTCCGTTTAGTAGGGGTCACCCTACACTTCGTCTATGGAGAGGGTCACTTCTTCCTTCGAGCTTAGGCGGGGGCTATGCTCAGGATTTCTCAGAGTGATATACTTAAAAACGAGGATATCCGCATTAGAACCAGAGTAACCGACTTAGCCCAACGGATTTGTAAGCTGAAGTTGCAATGGGCCTGCCATATAGCTAGAAGAACCGACAACTGATGGAGAAGAAGGGTTCTCGAGTAGCAGGCGATAGAGGAAACCAATAAATACTTACTTAAAATAATTTTAAATTCACATTTTTTTTAAATTTCTTAAAAAAAAATAAGAAGAATTGTATGGTAGTGTAATATTATAACGTTATAGATAAGTATTCTAAAGGCGAGGCAATTGAATTTGAAGTTCAGAATTGGGCAGAAAATATTTTGTTGAGTAGTAATGTAATATTGGATATAGGATATATACTCATAACAGTGAATTACATCAAACTAATTTTGAATTTAATTTTATCCAAAGATAATATCTTATGATTAATATTACAAACAGAACTGTTAAGTGGTTAAATTAGAACCACGTACATATCAATAACATCTATTAGGTGTTTTGGTACCTTATACAGTAATATTAAGTCGGTGTTTTGGGCGTTTAGGAAGTAATTCCGTTAAAATGTACGATTTATATTGCAAATAAATACACGAATATGTACAATACAATTTCGTATTTCTGTAATATATAAAATCATGTCTCATATCTACGCCAGTACCTCTTATTAGTTTGTGCTCATATCTAATCATAACGGAGCTCGCTGGGATAAAAATATAAAATACCACATTTTACTTTTAACGATATTAAACACATTTAGTATTATAATAAACATTCGTATAGCCTTTCTAAATCGATGAGCTGTATCCCATTTAGACAACAAAACGCACTACGAACGCGTTTTTTCTATTGCAAAGGTTCGCATAAGTTCTACGAGCACACAGGATGCGTGCATGCGTTGCATGCGATAAGTGTGTTTCTAATGCATAGTTTTTCATACAATATCGAGAGTCCAGGCGTCATAACGCGTTGCATACGCTGCGTATGTGGAACCTGTCTATCTCTGTCTTAAACATTTCACCTTTGTAAAATACCGAACGTCTATTTATGAGTTTTTAGCTAACACTTTAGCCTTAGAGTAATTACATATTATATATGTATGCTACTAATTACTCTTGAGTCTTCACGACTACGACATCAGAATGTTTGTATAACAAAAATTATTGAAATCGGTTTACATAATAATCTTTGTAATGTATAAAGCAAAAAAATTAAAACGACACATTATAAATGTTTACATACCGAATTCAAAATGGTAACAATTTAGCAAAATACAAAAGAGTGTCATTTCTGCTACTTACCTACGCTACTACCTATTCCCGCATTCACTTCACCGCATTTCAGTATTTACAGACAGTTTTTTCTATGACATACATAATGCTAAGTGGCGCTATCGAAGTAGAATTGACGCTCGCTTTGATATAATATTTTTCTGGTTTTATTTTTTTGAACGCGATATTTTTTGTATGGATTGTGCGTTATGCAGAGTTAGATTATATTCTATTACCACACCTAAAAAGGTACGGAAGTGAAGTTGCGGAAGAAAACCTTTATAAAAGAAAAGTGGGACTCTGCTTTTGCTTTCCTTGTTATACAAATGTTATTTAACAGATATAGATAAATGATAACTATTAAAAATAATTATTGTTTTATTCTAATTTTTTTATAGGCAGATCTATATCTTTTGGACGACCCGCTGTCGGCCGTGGACACTCACGTGGGCAAACACCTAATATCCGAGTGCGTCACCGGGCTCCTACAGAACACCACACGCATCCTAGTAACACATCAGCTACATCATCTTAAGGGAGCCGACAGTGTCGTAATTCTACGAAATGTGAGTCCCTCAAATATTATCTATTATTAAATGTTATTATATTATCATTATTATTATTATTTTAAGTATTGATTAAGCCAGTCAGTTTATAAAATAAAAAGATAAACATTTATCTGTATATATTATATATATATATATATATATATATATATATATATATATATATATATATAAAACTATTACAACCACACCGCTATCTCAATATCACTGTTTAAAGAGCGAACAGTTGTGAAATGCCTTTGTATTCAAGCGATACAGCCGCCCGCGGTATTTGTAGGCGGTAAATGCTAGGGGTTATCACGAACTTGGGAATAAAATAATTTTGGATAATATTAAACTCATTATCATTTATTAACATTATGTCAATACTTGTAAGTATAAAAAAAATTACAAGGAAAAATACACTTACAAATATTTTCGTGACACTTTCTTATTGTAGATGTTTTAAATTTTTATTACATTTATATAATTAAAAAAAATAATTATGTATAATGAGGCATTGTCGTCGTTTGAATTCAACTTTGCAAAGTAACTCATAACAGTAATTCAACATTACAGATATTACATTTTTTGAAAACGGCACTTAAAGTTTGGGTATTCTGTAGTTGACTGTGTCTTAACAGGGTGAAGACGCGTTTGTAAAATGAAGGAATTCGAAGAAATGTATCTTTTAGAAAATTCATATCGCAATTTAAATCGTCGAATCGCGACATCGGCTTGTGTGGCTTAATGCAATATTTATGTGCAACTAATTTTTTCACATCGATAGTCGTTTAGGTAGATAACAACACTGATAGAAACAACATAATAAAGACAGATCAACAACCATAAAACAAACAGCCGTTCGAGAACACGGGGTAGGGCTTTTACGCTTTGATTAAATTACAATGGTTCACACTATGTGTGAGTTAACTGAGTACTGGCAGGCCTCGTTTATTCTTTTCATCAGTTTTCTCGTTCACAAAGGTAAGACATATTTTGGTTCATAACTTATGTTACTTTTAAAACGCAAAATGGTAATATTATGTTATGTACCACCATTTCTCGATATTTAATAGGTTTTCTAAACACATATTTTTAAATCTATAATTTTAAAAAATGATGTTATTTCATACATGTGTGACAGCCCTTGAACTTTTAAGAACGAATCGAACCCAGTTGTCCCGCGTACTGTAAAATTTACTTCACTTCACTTGAAAGACAAAGCTAAATTGATTCTAAAAACCTTGGCGTGCTCAGCAGAGCGGGACAGTATTTTATGCCGGCACACTGCCTGCAACTTTACAAGGTGCAGATTCCGCCTCACATGGGATACAGTTCCTATATATGCGGGGTAGGAGGGCTCCCTAGCGCCCGCTCCTTTCATTTGATCGCATCCAGCGCAGATCAGTTCGAATCATCGGTGACTGAGCAATTTTTGATCGGCTTGACTCACTGGCGCTGCAAAGAGATATTGTACCTCTTTGCGTATTCTATTGTATCTACCACGGGGAATGCACAAAGGAGTTGTTCGGCCTTATTCCAGTCGCTCAATTTGAACATCGCGACTAAACGCGAGTTACTATCCATACCATCTGGATGATTGGCGGTCCACCATTGTGCAATTTACAATAAGTTTTCTTCCGATACGACTTAGGGATTTTCAAGAAAGTAAGTTGTTGCTTATCTTCTCAAAAATGTCGCAAAGATAATTACACTGGAAATTTATACAATTTTATGTCAATGTTTGTTATGTCAATAAGCTTTAAAAAAGATAAGGTTTATTCATGGCATTCTAGGACATAGCCTAATTATTTATATTACGGTTATATGCGGGGTGAGTAAAAATGCCCATTAGGATGAAAATCGATTTATTTTCCACATACACAGAAAGTTTATTAATTTCGTCGTCCAAAATCGCCAAGCTTCTTCCGCAAATGTCGTAGGTCGAATTCTCCTAGTCGCTTCTCGAAGTAGTTCACTTCCGTGTTCCCGAAATAACTAACTCTCTGCTACCCGGCACACGCTTTTATATTCGATAATATGAATAAAGAACTTACTAAGCCAATCCAGGTCATTCCACTTTTTCGACCGGAAAGAACTAGAATACTCGCGATAACACCGCGATAAGAATATCTAAAAGATAAAAGGTTTTGTACACGTAGACATCAGGTTGCTTCTTTCTTGCATTAATAGTCTGAGCGGTATCTGTTTTTCCGCCTACACATTTCATAACTTGACCCTGTTACCTGTCGTCGGGAACATTACTATCAACAAAGAGTATGTAAAATCACTACGTTTATATGATGCTCTTTTATCTTCTAATAAATATCACAAAACTAAAAAATGATACAAAAAAAATCCTTGGGAGATAGTAATTGTGTTCTGTGACTTGAGTATTGGACTTCAATTAATTTCACAATGTCAAAATTTAAGCCTAGCGCGCTAGAGTAAGCTCTTAAGCTGGACTCCTCCCTTATGATATCCAAGAACAACTCAAAAAGTGCCTATGTCTTTCGCTGTGAAATATGTGTCCAGATTTGGTTACTATTTGGTGACGAATGATTTAAAAAAAAACAACCTAAATTTAAAAAAAGAACTTAGTGAAAACGTTACTCAAAGTTCTACGATAAATTTCAATATCGGTACAGTCACACACAGATTGTACAAATCGTTTAATTTGTTTTCAGTTTTTAAAGTTTAAAAAAATTTAACACGTTATTTTTTGTTTTCGTTGTACATGATTAAAACAAACAATTGTCATCAATCGCTCACTTAATCTTGGCGTATTAATTAAATTAAAGGTATCGTTTTGGAGGATTGTTAGCTTGAAGGACGCCTAGAGTCTACTAGAGCTCAGAGTCGACTTCGATCATTATCTTACTTTGGGTGAATCCATCTGCGGTCTTTATTATTTTAAGATAGTAGCAGTTGTCCATGAGTTAGAGTAGTTGTTAAAAATCTGATTGTTTATTGATCCGTTTGTAACAAATAATAAATAAAGTTAATTCATCAAGTATTGCTTGGATCCCAAAAAAAAAATTCGATTTAGTATTAGCGTACACTAGGACAATTACTTATGTTAATAATTTACTTTTCATCAACATAATTAGCATAATTTACTATCACAATTAATTAACAATGTAAAGTAAACCCTTACCTTACTTACCCCTACTTACTGTGTTTACCTTTACCTTATTCTTATGCATGCGAAATAATTATTTGAACCTTTATTATTAGTTCCATATCATTTTTGAAACAAAGCAATTATTGTAATCGAATTTCGTCGCTTATGTCATTTTAATATATTATATAGTTTCTACCGAGTTGAGCTTTTTTATATAGAATATGGGTTACAAACGACCACACAGTCCACCTGACAGTCAGCAGATGCTGTGGCCCATAGACATCTACATTTATCCTCGATTAAGAATCAAAATACAGATGCGTTGTCAACTAGAAGGACTAAGATACCTTGTACCTTTTCAGTAAAAAGGGTCTCCGATTGTCCACACTCTTCATAGGAAACACAGCAGCATTAAGCTGCTATTTTACGCTGGTATTCTTTGAGAGTGTGGTGCTTCCCCGGTCGAGTCGACCTATTCATGCTACAACCATATTATAGCTGCGGCGTGACTCTACCACGTATAAATACTTACCACGTTAAAGTCAACAGACTTCCTTAAATAAATTTAAAAAAAATCACCATTTTAACAGTGTTTGACTACAACATCTAAATATAAATAATATTCAAGATTTATTATGACAGCAGTTGAATTTAATCAATTTCTTTTAGGGAGAAATTGAAACTCAAGGCACCTTTGAAGAAGTGTCCCGCTCACCGTTGTTCAAGGAGCTGCTAGAAGAAGATGAACAGCCTGAGGCTGAAGGGCACACACAACTTCTGCGACAGCGTTCTATGTCTATACAGGTATAACAAAACTTTTTACGAACTTTTGTACCTGTTTCGGTTTCTTTATATATTATTTTGGTTAACTTTATCTTCTTCTATATATATATATTAAGTACCCGGATGAACGAGCTTTGCTCGTTTTTTTATTGAAATTACATTTATAAATTACATACTGATGAAACTTAAATAATATTTTTTGATCTTATTGACAGAATAGAAAAAACTGAACTGATTATTTGAATAAAAAATCATGAGTGCAATTAGTTTTATTAAAATTTTCGTATTTTTTAAAAATTACTAAAAAAAAAGGGAGTGAAATAATAGACTTTCTCACAAAAGAAGGGAACTTAAAAAAAAAAGGAAAAAAGCTAGACCAGAGACAGGACGCGAACCACGGAACTCCGATATCACGCCCGACTGACATCCCATCTGAGCTATAACGATCGTTAGTGATATGTCGAAATTTACCTTCTTATATTGTAGCAGTTTTTTTATTGCCTGAAAACACGGACAAAAGGACATTTTCTAAAAATAAATCCTAGCTAGATCGATTTATTGTCCCCGAAACTCCCTGGACACTAAATTTTATGAAAATCGTTATATATATACAAGAATTGCTCGTTTAAAGGGGTATAGGATAATGTAAATTGCAGATGTCTGTACATTTTATATTTTGTGTAACAAAATGATTTGGAGAGGCTAAAAATAAGTAACTGAATACATTCCTATCATTTTTAGAATTGTCTGTCTGTCTTTCTGTTTGGCTGTCTGTTTGTTTGTTAACATGTCATTTATAAAGTACTGATTTATATCAAATTCATCGCTAGGAAAATTGTGAAGCATATCTTCGTTTTAAATTTAGTCTATTAAATTAAATTATTAGAGATTTTTTTATAGAGCTATTAAATTTTTTTTTGGTTTTGGCAAGGATCATATTAATCATATAGAAGCTTGGCAACATATTATACTTCCATTTTGCAAAAGTTTTAAAATTGACATTGTCGTGAAACTGAAAAATTACTTTTTGAGTTTTTTAATATTTTTCCTACCCGTTCTTTTCAAAATATCATATAATTTTTATTTTAATATAATAATAAATTAGCTAGTATAATTTTATATATATGGCGCTATAAGTAACGTAACAAGCAACATAAGGTTTTAACATTCTAAACGATTTATGAAGAAAACATAACATTTAAAAAAAATTATTAGGATCAAAAAACAGTTTACACAATATTTATTAACCTAAAATACATTCACTATAAAAAATATATAATAGTGCAACCAACACCGTTGACTACCAGTTACTATTAACAAATATTGAGATTGAGAATAGCGTACAATTTTTCATCTAATACAATGATTGTGTTTTCAAATAACACAACAATAAAGAAAAATAATAATTATTGTAATAACCAATTACACAAACTCATTCTCCTCTGAGTACTGAAAGTAATTTTTTTTATAAATACCCACCTTATGAGCAAAAATGTCAATATTATTGAAAGTATTATTATAACAATTTAACAACATCTTTTATCTCGGGGATCTTTTACCTACGTTGGTTTGACATTTATTAGTAAAAAATGTATATTTGGTATGAACTCTGCGACATAATGACCTATATGGTACTCTTTATTGTATCATCTTAACATGTTCTGTACTATCGTACCTGTTATGACAGATATCATACAGTAACATAGCTTGAATCTGTCGACGTCTGGATTCTAATTTTAGTAAGTTATATTCGATCGGCAGTTGATAGTAGGGTAACTTAACTCGTCTGCACTTGTAATTTACACTACGCAAAAACTTTTTCTGAATAGTTTCTATTTTATCTATATATTTATTATAATACGGACACCAAATAGCTACCGCATATTCGAGTTGTAATCTAATTAAAGATTTATAGAGGTGCAAATAAGTGAGAGGTTTTTTAAATTCACGTCCAAAACGCATCACGAATCCATACATTTTAAGAGCCTTATTAATGACATTTTTAACATGTGTATCAAAGATAAATTTACTATTTAATATTATTCCTAAATCTTTAATTTTATGAACTTTTTCTAATGGGACACCACATAAAGAATAATTAAAACTACTTTCCTGTCGCTTACGGGTAAACATTATGGCTTTACATTTATTAACACTCAAGTCTAACTTATTATGTTTACAGTAAGATGTAAAATCATCCAAATCTTTTTGAAAGTTATGGTGGTCATGATAATATTCAATTTTGCTATAATTTTTTATATCAACTGCGTACAGAATAAAATTACAAAACTTGAAATTACTATTAACATCATTAATGTACAGGACAAAAAGAATAGGCCCTAAGATTGATCCTTGTGGCACACCAGAACTTATATGCATAATATCTGACTCAAAACCCCATATAACTACGTTTTGTGTACGATATGTCACATAAGACTTGAACCATCTCCAAGAATTACCACGGATACCATTAAGGGCTAGCTTTTCCAGAAGTAGTTTAAGGTTTATGCGATCGAAAGCTTTGCGGAAATCTGTGTATATGCAATCAGTCTGGACGTTACTATCCAGATTCTCAAATAAGTAGTTTGTATAAATTAATAAGTTAGATATAGTTGATCGCTTCTTAATAAAACCATGCTGCTGTGGAATTATTATATTGGATAAAAGAAAGATAACATGTAAATAAATACAATAATGTTTGTATTGGACCAGAAAATATGTTTCTTCCTTTTATCTAATAACCGTTACAGCATTTTAAAGACCACTGCTGAACACAGGCCTCCCCATTGATTGCCTCATATTTGGCATCATTGATTCATATATCTCAATGTTTGGCATAGTTTCCACAATCTATCACGCACGCTTTACCTGATTACGGAACTGAAGAAGTGAGTTATATTTTACAATATACATCCAATATTGGTCCACGACTAAGTAATGCATTCAATGAAATGTTTATATAAAAAAAGGATATCATTGTAGACATTCTTGGAGTGGGGAAGAGTCCAGAGGTAGTTTATTGACACACCATTTTTAATTATATAAATGCTCTAGTCCAATCGTATTCAAACTTTGCATGAAAAAGTTTTATCTGATCCGATTGAATTATTATTTTCTTTAGGACGTTTCTTAGATCTAAATTACTATATAACTGGAACTTACTAAGGAGTAACAATTATAAGTATCATTCAATTATATCGAGAATATGGAGCGATGCTAGTGTAGCGATAGCGGAAGAGAAATTTCGAACTAACAATTATGAAGAACGTGAAGCTAATAGCAAGTAAGCTTTTGAACAATTTTTGGTCAAGAAACCATTCGATAAAACACAAAAATAAATAAACAAAAAAATGTTATTGGACAAATGTGAACAGAAATGTTCATCGGCTCCGACATTGAAAAATGAGAAAGGACCATAATATGACGTCCGACGTCCGTTTTTGTGTCACAAACGAGAAGGTAACCCGTGGCCTGAAAGGTAGTTTGTATCCCCGAGTGCTACGATGCTATAAGAGCCGCATAATCTAGCAGCACCAACATCATCGAAACCAGAAAAATAAATAAAATTTGTGTGGCAATTTTAATATACTGAGAAAATAATAACAGTTGCAAATGAACCTTCTATTGATTTAAGACCAGCGAGGTCGTTGTCGTCACTGATAATGTCCATTATTTATTTCTATAAAATTTTGTAACTGACCAAAGAGATTTAAATATATATATATACCTATATATATATATATATATATATATATATATATATATATACAGAATGGGTCCCACATATATGGAATAAATGAAACCACAAGTAATACTAGTCCGTAGAAATGTAGAAAAATTAAATATTAAATTAAAACCCGTAAAATAAAAAAGTGAAATTTTCAAACAAAATAAATATTAAAATAAATTCAGTAAAAGTGAACACTCTGTTTAGACAACGTACCTTGACCCCTTGGAAGAGTGACAACGTTGTACGCGGGTGGCACGCCGACAAAAGACACCGCTGTCGATATGTCGCAATACCAATAGTTTGCACTGCGTGGCAACGTCGCTTTTTTAGTGTTTAAAGATTCAAGTTCATTGAATCATTGACTTAGTGACCCAATTCTATAGAGTGTTCAAATTTGCTTAAAATTAAAACTCTACTTTTTGATCTAATTACTGGACCGATTACGTTCATTTTTTGTATATCGTCAGCAAAGGCGATAACAAGTATATGGTTTCATTTATTGCATATATGTGGGACCCATTCTGTATACTATAGAGCGGACATTGGGAACATTTACATACAAAAACTGTGAGCACGCGCGTGTGTTAAGCCCTCTAGTGACAAATAGCAATACTACGCTGAATATTTATTTGGATAACATTTTAGCTATTTCCCATTAGGTAACGCTTCTAAACATAAGGTAAAAATCGGTTTTAGGCACGTCGTCAATTACTAACATATTTGTAAATAAATAGTGACGTTACTGGATAACAGAGGGCACTTATTACAATAATTTTTCTTTCTTCTAAAACAATCTGCCAGAAATAATAAAATTTAAAGACTATTTTTAAATATACATTATTCTTAGGATAATAAACCAAAATCATGTTCATTTTTTGCTCCATATCGTGACTTACTATACCTTTATGCACAACGGGCATATTTTCTTAAAAATATTTTTTAAATTTATGAAATGAATGCGTCTTGACCTTTCGATGATTTCACTTAGTTTAAATGACAAAAATCGAAGATATATCCTATAGGACAAAAGTTACAGAGAACAGTTTTGTTGCTGATGTCCGGTCTATTACTACTACATACTTAAATGTCTTTGTAACTGACCCTTCTTTTTTATGCAGTCGCACACCAGTGTCAACAGTACGGTTGCAGAATACGGTAATGAAAATGAGGAAGAACCCGAAGAAACCGCCGAGCTCATGGAAAAAGGTAAATACCAACTCAACTAAGCAAATTTATTACAAGATACCAAGGTTTCAAAATATTTAACTTAGTTATATACCTTGTTGTAATTTTAAAAATATCACTGATTTTTTTGACAAAGCTGTATTTATTTATAATTTGCTTTGTAATTATTCATATAATCCGAAATAGCCTTTCATCATAAGACTAGAGAATTTAATTAAGGTGTTATATAATTATCATATCACACGCGTTTATAAATTCTATTTCTCTAAATAGGAGATAAGTTGCGTTTTTCGCGATTTCGTTCATATAATATACCTTATCCTTATCTTTGTTAGTAATTTGTTTTGAAGTTTTTTTATTTTGAGCCTAGTAATTGATTATATTTTATAAACTACACTGCAATTCTAACTCAAAGACTAAAAGCATATATAAGGCGTGATCCATTTCGAGGTTCCCTACTCTTTTAAAGAAAAAAACACAGAAAATTCAAATTTAATGGAGAATGTTTATTATCATTTGAAAGAACATTCTTTGGCATTTATTTTTTGAAGATTATGTCTATCAAATGTTGGCCGTTGCTACGTCGCAGATGGTCCATCGCCCAAAACGTGAAATTATGTGCTCACCGAAATGTTCTCTCAATAAATCCATTGATTGATGCGATGTGTGGGAAGTGGCGCCGTCTTGCTGAAACCAAATGGCGCCGAGATCACGAGCTTAAAAATATTTAACATAATTATCTACCTTGTTCTAATTTGAAAAATATTACGTGCAATCACAGATTTTTTTGACAAAACTGTATTTACACAACAGTTATTCACATAATCCGAAATAAGCTTTTTATCATAAGTCTAGAAGAATTTACTTAAGGTGTTATATAATTGACATATACGCGTTATAAATTCCATTTCTCTAAATAGGAGATAAGTTGCGTTTTTATTATTAAAGTAATTACTATTTATGGCCGCGACTTTGTTCATATATAATCTTTGTTAGTAATTTACTTGTTTTGAAGTTTAATGACTTAGGGCCTAATTGATCATATTTTGTAAACTGCACTACTATTCCAACTCAAAGACTAATAGCATAAATATTTTATACTTAAGAGTAATTCATCACAATGTAATTTCGCTCCGTTTCATACTACATAAGAAAATCCGAAACGGAATTCCATATGTAGTATGAAACGAAACGAACAGGTGGGCCATACACATATGGAATCCCGTTTTGCCCGCAAAATTTCGACCTCAAAACTACCGTAGGTGTGTGACAGGTCATTGTTTTTATATGGACTTGCTGGAATCCCGAAACGGAATTATTATTACAAAAAAGTTACAACATATACTAAAAGTACTAGTCATGCGTTAAAGAATGGGACTGAAAATGGCGTCTCCCCTATTCGCCTCTCGCTCGCATACTGTCGATATTTATACTCACATACGCCGGTATAGACTGCAAAAAATTACACATCGTTTTATAAGTAGCCCAACTTGTCATTGAAAACAATGATAACGAATTCCCAAAAAACTACAAAAAAGCAGTCCGGTTTTGCTAATTTGTGAACTATGACACGTTTTGACAGTTTCTTAATAATTGTTGTCGATTTTGTTTGTTAGCATTTTTGTATAAAATATTTACATGCCATTGAGACATGAGTAACCATTTTTAAAATTTTCGTTTGTCTGTCTGTCCGAGCTAATCTTAAGTATGGCTGAATTGATTGTTATAAAACTTCACGAACAAATGGAGAGTTATATCACGAGTGAGCTAGACTAAATTTTATCCGAAAAATTTGAGATTTTATTAAAATTGAGATATTGGTAAGATAAAATAAAAGCTCTTTAATGATTATCCTAAGTCTAAATAACGCCACATTATTAGATCCTACCTAGGAGAAGCCAGAGTGGATTGCTAGTAATAAATTTTATTATAAAATTTATATACTTACTTGAGTATACAACACTTTTCAAATAAATTTCCCCATTTATAAAAAATTTCGAATTAACCGAATAATATAACGTTATACCGTTATTAGCAGGTTCTCGCTATTGGTGTCTACGGTACGAGCTCGATAAGACGCCATTTCTAATCCTATTCTTTATCGGTCATACTGTTTACAGTCCATATTTTTTTTATAGAATAGGGTGACAAACGAGCACACAGTCCACCTGATGGTAAGTGGTTGCTGCGGCCCATAGACATCCACATCTATCCTCCATTAAAAATCAAAATGCAGATGCGTTGTCACCCGTGAGGACTGAGATGGAATGCCTCGTTTCCAGTAAAAAGGGTCTCCGGTTCTCTACACTCACCATACGAAATACAGCAGCATTAAGCTACTATTTCACGCTGGTATTCTGTGAGAGCGTGGTCCTTCCCCGGTCGAGCCGACCCATTCGTGCTACAACTATACTACTAATATAACTGCAGCATGGCTCTACCACGTATAAATGTCCTATATGTGCCGATATGAACTTCCAATCTTGCAACCGTTAATCGGATACTAATAACACCTCTTAGTTTAGCTTGCCTATGTCCATCCTGTTTATACTTATTGCGACATATTTACATTAGTAGCCTTTGGGGTCGTGACATGTAATGTGATGATTGATTCTCTTACGTCGCCCCAAAACACAATGGAAGCAGATTTGATGGAGTTTTTGTAATTCAGAATGATAGTGTACGTTGTAACGTTGTAATGTAGGGCGCGTGTCCGGCTCCGTGTATCTGAAGTACTTCCGTGCGGGCGGCGGCTGGGCGCTGCTGACTCTCACGCTCGTGTCTATTTTACTGGCACAGGCTGTAACCTCCATCAGCGACCTCTGGCTCACGCATTGGTAATATTCTATTTTTGATTTATTGTTAATTTTTTGATTTGATGTTATAGTCTTTCTTTCTATGTAATAAAATCGTAACAAATTGTTTTCTTGAAAAAATACCAAATAGTTGGGAGAATAATAATAGTTGGGACAATAATTCCAAAATTCCAGCATATCAGAGCTCATTTAATTACATATATCTATAATTACGAGTATATCGGCTGTCCCGAAACTCGACGTCAAGTGGACCGGGCAAGAGATAAATTGTTCTGTTAAAAATAATAAATAACCTAAATTAAAAATTTAAAACCCCCGAAATAAAAAGACCTTATGATCTACAAACGGCTGAAAAGATTTTCTTGAATCATATCTAAGAACACTCGATCAAGTTACCTTTCAAACAAACAAAAAAAAAACTAAATCTATATCGGTTCATCCATTTGGGAGCTACGGTGCCACAGTGATGATCTTCAAACGGGTGACAAGATTTTCTAGAATCGTATATAAAAACATTTGATCAAGTCACCTTTCGAACAAAAAAAAAAACTAAAATTAATAGTGATATTTTTAATTATGTAACACACAAACAGAGACCGCTTGACGTTCATTTTCGTGACACACTTTATAAAATTACCTTTGATGATATTATGCCGCCTGCAATATAATGTGGTATATTGTGTAAGTTATTCTCAGGAGTATTTTTATAATTATAATAATATTCACTAAGAAGGAAAATATTTGTGAATAAATTGCCTAATGTTTATTAGCTGACAGCCGTGTTCGCGTGTAATGGAGTTTTCTTGTTTTAAGTACTGTTAAAAACATAGTGAACCAATGATGTAATTATTGATTTTTTAAATTTATATTTTAAAATGAGACACAACGTTATGGCATTCCACAACATCCAATAGAATGGTTTATTTTCTTTACTTTGTATTTTAAGCACATAATACATATAACAATTATGACTAAATAACACCACAGTAGCTAGCAAGAAATTGCCTTTGATGATATTTTGCCGCCTGCACAGTGCCGGATTAAGCAAGTGCGGGGCCCGTAGCAAATTATATTGAGGGACCCTTGATCTGCTATATGTTTTATGTAAAAAGTGGTTAAAAACAATCCAGTATTCAATAACTTTATTTACAGATTTATTTATAGATTACAATTTTGTTGGTGTTTAATAGTACAGTAGTAAAGAGGATCGTGGGCGTTTCTGAATCTGACGCTGGTTGTCACTGTAGTAATGCGGTGAGTCTTCCAGTTCCTAACTCGTCGATCTATCTCCTTGCCTAAGCCACACTACGTTGGGTTCGAAACAACGCAGTGGGCATATGCTTCGATAGCGCCTACTTCAGAAACACATACGCCTAATCTTAAAGGGTGGTTGATGCCTGTGATTACGGGTCCACGTTTGGTCCCGGTCTAGACATCAAAAATGTGGACTGTATATTAACTTCACTTTCCCTAACTTTTATGGTCGACACTGGGAATAAAACAGCAATTTTCTTGAAAATCTTGAGAAATGTGATAACTGTATAATTGACTTTATTATTGAATAATATGTATATAATAAGGTGTTGTTTAAATGATAACTATTATTTAATTAAATTGATTGATAACTAGGATGAACGACGTGGAAGCAAAACACTTACGTTTCGAAGACGAGAAATTCAGCGCTAATTACACGAGCACCAACAACGAGACAAACGTATTCAACGAGACAACGGAACCACTAATGCTGTATGATGCAACCACTGACCCAACTTCACCAACGACAATGAATCCAAACCTTACCGTCATAGGCACAACGGTTAAAGCAGCACTAACTATACAGAATATTACTGCGGGGCAGGAACCATTAGAACATTCTTATTATATCTACATTTGGGCGAGTGCTATACTTGGATGCATATTGCTTACAACTAAAAGGTCAGTACCGCTTGTTTTTCTTATGAAATTTAAACGATAAAGAATGCGTAAATCTAGAAAACTGTTTGATTATATCCAATATTACACAGAATATTTGCAGCAAAACCAATAGACAAATAAACAACTATTTTTATATAGTAAAAATAAATTGTGAGACTATAGAATACGATTTTAGAATTTTCTCCTTCATAGCTCGAGATGAATCTCTCCCATTTAGACTCAATATTTGAAATTCAAACTCAGTTAGCTTCCTATTCCGCATCGGATGAAACCTCTTAGACGTTTCCAGGACGTACCGCGACGCTGGTGGCGGCGGCTGGTGGTATGTCCTGGCCTAGCCGCTCGGGACTCTATAGTCTTTGTGTTATAGTATGGTCCAGTGGGTCAAATTTCGGGACGGAAAATATAATATACCTATATATAAAATATAAAAAGTAAGTTATAAATATATATATATATATATATATATATATATATATATAGCCAGTTAAGCCACCATGAGTTATACTAGTTTTTTTGACAGAATGCGCAATATGCTTTATAATTATTTTTTGGTACTAAGCCAATGAACGAATAATTTATCATCCGAACATACAACAAACTGCATATTCGTCTCTGTACGTTTTTCTTTTTTGGCAAATCAGTACTTGTTGATCGATTAGTTATCGTTGCTGACTCTGAATTTTCTGTGACTCATTTTAATGACGCATACACTTCAAACAACCCTCAAAAACGGCATCATACAAAGAACCGCACACATTCATTCATAATCAAATTATACTCTCAAATGCTCAGATAAAACGCTTGTATTGCACGCATAAATAATATCAGTTTATTTGAACACGACAATACCTACAACCGCTTGAAAAAATTGACAAATGGAAGAAAACTTACAAGACTTTTGCATTTTATTAAATGTACTTATCTAAACCTCGGCATGTAAGTTAGGAATTGTACTAATTACTGGTAAAATAATTAAATAATAAATAATGCTCGAATTGACGACGTCGATCCATAGCATGGTGGGCGGCATCGTTCGGAGAGAGAGAAATCGAAACAGCATGAATGATATCTGTATTTCGCCAACACAATACGCGTAAAGTATAAAACTTTGATGCTGGTTTTTTAGTCAGTAAATATGAAATGTCAAAGTTTACAGGTGTATTCATTTTTGTTGCCATAATTAGCAATCGAAGTACAGCCTAAGGAGGTTAGTAAAAAAGTGGGACATTTGACGTCCTGATCAATGGTGAATCGGAATGTGTCACCTGACCTCTGAAAAATGCGTATAATCTATGCTAGTGCCTAGCACTTTGTATTGATGTGTGCAGTACCTATCAGCCGTTTTCTAATTTCCACCTGATTTTATATTTGTTTTACTTCTGATAATTAAGTTTGTTCATGTGTTCCGTTAAATTGAAAATTTTTGCTGTTTGTTGAGCTTGTTTATTTATAATGCCAAAATTGACAAAAAAATTATTAAGGCGACTCAAGCGGGGCGTTAGTCATTCGTCTTCAAGATTGTCTTAAAGCAGCATAACAAAATGTTGAAATAAATATAAAAAATTAATTTCTTTTTTATAATATTACCACTTTCTATATTTATTTATTTGCTTATTGTAGTACATGAATCATTAGCTACTCAAATTAGCAAACTTAGTAAACATGAATATGATGGTATTGCACAATAGGTACATACTAAAATAAAATTATCTTACATATTTTTTGTGATTATATACGTTTGACAGTTTTTACATCCAATTATGAGGCACATATCTAGTAATTAAAAAACTAATAATTCAAAAATATTAATTATAATTATTGCTAGTAAGTTTAGTACGTAACTGCGCACGCAAGTGAAATAAATTAAACTTTTACAGCTTTATTAGTAAAAAAAACACATAAAATTCATAAAAACGAATTCAATGTTATTTTATCATTGTTCAAAAATTTTGTCGTTCTTTGCCAATGCACGCAAGTTACGTTTTAGTGATCTGTCAAATTGTCATCCGCACCATGCTACAACGCAAAGACTATAATATCGGAGTGAGAGGTTGGCACAAAGTGTGACCAATTACTCCTCAACATCAGCATGCGCATCGCAGCCGGAGTCATCAATCCACTACTGATTTTTACTCCCGTACGTTTGCAAGTTCGAGATCTAGGCCGCCCACCCAACCTATCCACTGAATGTCGGATCTTCGGATTGTCTACAGTTGAACTTGGCGGCAACTTTACAACCGGCTGTCTAAAGGTCCCTTCACTCCTGCCATGTACCTTCCTCGTTTTGGTGAAACAGTGGAACTCACTTGTTCTTTTTCTGCATTTATTTCATTATAATAGAAAGTATTCGCTTGTCAGGCGGGTTATTAACTAAAATTAAGATATTTTGTGTTCAAAACGATGCCAAAATTATCATTATTTATACTGGAATTAAATGTCTATGTACCAAAAATCGCTTTAGTCTTGATTGTGGTGCTTCTTTATAGTTATTTTTACCTTTTAGGCACTAACGTAGTATGATTAGTAAGATGGGAATGTTGGTATGTTTTGGACATTTTTACCTATGAAATAGTGTCTTAAATTGGTCATTAAATCATCAATAAAATTACACAAAAACACAATAATCGCAAGTAACTTACGAGATTTCCATTTGGCCCGTCAGCCCCCTCTTGAATGAGGTTCTGTGTCCAGTTAGTAGTGGCTAATATTTAAAACGTAATGTATTTGAAATAAAGTAATTTTGGTTGCAATAATATTTCATAATTATTTCAGATCTCTGCTGTTTCTTTGGATATGCATGCGCAGTTCTATTAAGTTGCACAATGTAATGTTCAGTAACATTCTTGCGGCCACAATGCGCTTTTTTGACACTAATCCATCAGGACGCATTCTAAACCGATTTTCCAAAGACATGGGCATTGTTGATGAGATACTACCGAGAATGTTCTTAGAAAGTATGCAGGTAACGTTATAAAGCTTCTAATCATAGTTTTAGTAGTCTGGACATGTGTGTGTATTGACTGGAAACTAATTTTAACGGATTTAATCGTGTTATTTTCTAATCTCGACGTTTACTACTTGTAGTGTAGTACTTTGCAGCTCCCAAGCTTACGGGTGAAGGGCGAACTGTGCCCCACCGTGATAAAATCCACAAAAAATAGTTTTACTCATGATTTTTATATTATTGTCAAAACGCACCACAAGTTTCATTCTATATTTTAAAATATAGCATTGAAAATATTACGAATGAAATGTGTAGTATTGGCGATAGTAAACTATGACGAAATATATACTTACTATTATTATACTCTGACTTACGCATCTGCTGCTGCACTTTGATCCTTGTTCCATTTTGGCATATTATAGTTTTCAGTTGAGTATAGTATGAGTATATAAATCTCTCTTACACAGTAGTGGGTGTTTTGCTCCATAGCGGCTGAAATAAGCCCACAAGGAAGAGAATTACTGCGATATTATAGTCAGGCTTAACATTTTTAAGTAGACTTAAGAAATATAACAATCTCCTCGAGTCCGAATTTCGTTCACGGCGGCCAGTTTTAACGGAAATAAGCCATCTGCGCAAAACACGATCACAGTCTGTGCAAGCACAGGTGCGCTCTCTATTCCCTAACTCTGACATTCCGATGGGAAGACAAATCTGACACGATCGGAGAGAGATCAGGTGCAGAACCAACTTTACGTGCATTCCGAGGCACGGGCTGAGACATCGCTAACTGCCTCACGCCGGTCTGCTACTAAGATACAACGCTAACTTCCTCACGCCGGGCTGCTACTAAGATACATCGCTAACTTCCTCACGCCGGACTGCTACTAAGATACATCGCTAACTTCCTCACGCCAGGCTGCTACTAAGATACAACGCTAACTTTCTCACGCCGGTCTGCTACTAAGTTACAACGCTAACTTCCTCACGCCGGGCTGCTACTAAGATACATCGCTAACTTCCTCACGCCGGACTGCTACAAAGATACATCGCTAACTTCCTCACGTCGGGCTGCTACTAAAATACATCGCTAACTTCCTCGCGCAGGGCTGCTACTAAAATACAACGCTAACTTCCTCACGCCGGGCTGCTACTAAGATACGACGCTAACTTACTCACGCCGAGCTGCTACTAACATACAACGCTAACTTCCTCACGCCGGACTGCTACTGAGATCATCGCTAACACCGCCTTCCCACAATACATCGCTAACTACCTCACGCCGGGCTGCTACTAAGATACTACGCTAACTTACGCCGGGCTGCTACTAAGATACATCACTAACTTTCTCACGCCGGGCTGCTACTAAGATACATCGCTAACTTCCTCACGCCGGGCTGCTACTAAGATACAACGCTAACTTCCTCACGCCGGGCTGCTACTAAGATACAACGCTAACTGCCTCACGCCGGGCTGCTACTAAGATACATCGCTAACTTCCTCATGCCGGGCTGCTACTAAGATACATCCCTAACTTCCTCACGCCGGGCTGCTACTAAGATACATCGCTAACTTCCTCACGCCGGGCTGCTACTAAGATACAACGCTAACTTCCTCACGCCGGGCTGCTACTAAGATACATCGCTAACTTCCTCACGCCGGGCTGCTACTAAGATACATCCCTAACTTCCTCACGCCGGGCTGCTACTAAGATACATCGCTAACTTCCTCACGCCGGGCTGCTACTAAGATACATCGCTAACTTCCTCACGCCGGGCTGCTACAAAGATACATCGCTAACTTCCTCACGCCGGGCTGCTACTAAGATACATCGCTAACTTCCTCGCGCCGGGCTGCTACTAAAATACAACGCTAACTTCCTCACGCCGGGCTGCTACTAAGATACATCGCTAACTTCCTCACGCCGGGCTGCTACTAAGATACATCGCTAACTTCCTCACGCCGGGCTGCTACTAAGATACATCGCTAACTTCCTCACGCCGGGCTGCTACTAAGATACAACGCTAACTTCCTCACGCCGGGCTGCTACTAAGATACGACGCTAACTTACTCACGCCGAGCTGCTACTAAGATACATCGCTAACTTCCTCACGCCGGTCTGCTACTAAGATACAACGCTAACTTCCTCACGCCGGGCTGTTACTAAGATACATCGCTAACTTCCTCACGCCGGACTGCTACAAAGATACATCGCTAACTTCCTCACGCCGGGCTGCTACTAAAATACATCGCTAACTACCTCACGCCGGGCTGCTACTAAGATACTACGCTAACTTCCTCACGCCGGGCTGCTACTAAAATACATCGCTAACTTCCTCACGCCGGGCTGCTACTAAGATACTACGCTAACTTTACGCCGGGCTGCTACTAAGATACATCGCTAACTTCCTCACGCCGGGCTGCTACTAAGATACAACGCTAACTGCCTCACGCCGGGCTGCTACTAAGATACATCGCTAACTTCCTCACGCCAGGCTGCTCCTAAGATACATCGCTAACTTCCTCACGCCGGGCTGCTACTAAGATACATCGCTAACTTCCTCACGCCGGGCTGCTACTAAGATACATCGCTAACTTCCTCACGCCGGGCTGCTACTAAGATACAACGCTTACTTCCTCACGCCGGGCTGCTACTAAGATACATCCCTAACTTCCTCACGCCGGGCTGCTACTAAGATACATCGCTAACTTCCTCACGCCGGGCTGCTACTAAGATACATCCCTAACTTCCTCACGCCGGGCTGCTACTAAGATACATCGCTAACTTCCTCACGCCGGGCTGCTACTAAGATACATCGCTAACTTCCTCACGCCGGGCTGCTACTAAGATACATCACTAACTTCCTCACGCCGGGCTGCTACTAAGATACATCGCTAACTTCCTCACGCCGGGCTGCCACTAAGATACATCGATAACTTCCTCACGCCGGGCTGCTACTAAGATACAACGCTAACTTCCTCACGCCGGTCTGCTACTAAGATACAACGCTAACTTCCTCACGCCGGGCTGCTACTACGATACATCGCTAACTATCTCACGCCGGGCTGCTACTAAGATACAACGCTAACTTCCTCACGCCGGGCTGCTACTAAGATACATCGCTAACTTCCTCACGCCGGGCTGCTACTAAGATACATCGCTAACTTCCTCACGCCGGGCTGCTACTAAGATACATCGCTAACTTCCTCACGCCGGGCTGCTACTAAGATACATCGCTAACTTCCTCACGCCGGGCTGCTACTAAGATACATCGCTAACTTCCTCACGCCGGGCTGCTACTAAGATACATCGCTAACTTCCTCACGCCGGGCTGCTACTAAGATACATCGCTAACTTCCTCACGCCGGGCTGCTATTAAGATACAACGCTAACTTCCTCACGCCGGGCTGCTTACTAAGATACAACGCTAACTTCCTCACGCCTGGCTGCTACTAAGATACATCGCTAACTTCCTCACGCCGGGCTGCTACTAAAATACATCGCTAACTTCCTCACGCCGGGCTGCTACTAAGATACATCGCTAAGTTCCTCACGCCGGACTGTTACTAAGATACAACGCTAACTTCCTCACGCCGGGCTGCTACTAAGATACATCGCTAACTTCCTCACGCCGGGCTGCTACTAAGATACAACGCTAACTTCCTCACGCCGGGCTGCTACTAAGATACTACGCTAACTTACTGAAGCCGGGCTGCTACTAAGATATATCCCTAACTTCCTACTGCTACTACAATTTTCGTGACAGAAAAACCCAATAACTGATATTTAGCCCGACCCGGATTCGTACTCGGGACAGGACTGGGAACATGATCAGCAGCTGCGCTTAACACCACTTGACCAACGAGGTAGTCACAAAAAAAACTGTTAAAATTTCAATGGGTAATGTTAGTTAAGTGATATTGTTTTTTTAGGTAGTTATGGTTATGCTGGGAATTTTAGTAATGGTGGCTATAGTGAATCCGTACATGTTGCTTACGACCGCTGTCTGCGGTGTATTTATGTACTTGTGGACGGTGATCTACCTCGGCTCAGCGCAAGCCATGAAGAGGTAAGTTTTTATCATCTTATACGTTCAAATCTACACCAATATATGAAAAAAAAATATAATACTATAAGGAGGAAAAATTTGTTTGTTTGAATTGAATAAGCTCGCAAACTACTGGATCGATTTGAAAATTCTTCCACCATTGGAAACTTTATAGAAAATATCAATATCTACAAAAAAGTTCTGAACACTATATGTTGAATTATTACAGTTTTGTCAAAATAACTACTTTTTCATGTTAAAATATGCAATAGTAACGCCAAAAAATCCGTATATCGCGTACGCTGTGGAAACTATTGACAATAGAGTAAAGTGATGTACAACAATTTTATATAGGACACCAATATCTTCAAAAAAATTTGCAATGTCATATATCTAACTATTACAGTTGTGTCACAATAACTACTTTTTCATGTTGATATATGCAATAGTAACGCCGGTACAAACTAGGCCACATTATTCGTCCCTTGGTTATTAATCGTTATATTCAAATTAATCACTTTGTAATTAAGGCTATACCATCCATAACCACCAATTACATTAACCATGTAATTGAAGTAAAATTTTTCACTTTTTAAATCTTTGTTAATTCAGCAACCATACGTGTTGATGCCTCTCTCGATGTTCGCGCTTCCCATTTGATACAATCGGGGAAGATAGCGATAGCAGTTACTTCGTCAGGAATTGCTGCAACTCTCTTAAAGGATGGAAAAGCTGCTCATTCTACTTCAAAACTTCCGCTATCCGTAACTTTTGAGCATTAATATACATGTTATATCCGCAAAAATTGGCCTCTTGGTAAACTACTACAAGAGGCCTCATTGATTTTGTGGGATGAATTCACCATGAGCCATAGAGCACATATAGAGGCCGTGGACAGAACCTTAAAAGATCTTAGAAGTGTGTGAAGTGGCAGAAACTATAAATGATATCGCTTTCGCATGTATAAAAGGTTGAAAAAAGTTCATCAAGGATCGTTTCGTATGTCCACAGTTTTCATATACCGCGTCCTTAAAACTAGAAAAAAACCGCGTGTCGGGGCATATTCTGGGGCGTTCATACGGGAGGGGGAGAGAGAGGATAAAATTTAACTTTGCTGTAAAACGTAAATATGCCGATAGATAAAAGTACCACATTAATTTTGCCAATTTTGCTATTTATTTTTATTTATTTTATAGAAGAGGGGCAAACGAGCAGGCTCACCTGATGTTATGTGACTAACGCCGCCCATGATCGACCGCAATACCAGGGGAATTGCGGGTGTGTTGCCGGCCTTTAGAAAGGATTAAGCTCTTTTCTTGAAGGTCCCCAGGTCGTATCGGTCCGAAAAAATCGCCGGTGGTAAACAATTTCACAGAGAGGTCGTACGCGGAAGAAAACTCCTTGTGAAACGTACAGTAGTGGACCGCCAAGCATCCAGATGGTGTGGATGGTATCGGGACGTTTGCCGCGTAGTGCCTTCATTCATATTTGGCGGCTGGGATTAATCCGAACAATTCCTCAGAGCACTCTCCATGGTATATGCGAAAGAAAATGCAAAGAGATGCAACATCTCTTCGCAGCGCCAGTGAATCGAGCCGATCGGAAAGCACTCGGTCGTCGACGATTCGAGCCGCTCTACGCTGGATGCGGTCAAGTGGAAGGAGCTGGTACTGGGGAGCCCCAGCCCAGAGATGGGAACAGTATTCCATGTGCAGCCGAAGTAAAGTGGTTTAGCACGCTGGATCTAAAAAGTGGCTACTGGCAAGTTGAAATTGACCCTAAGGACAAGGAGAAAACTGCGTTCTCGACGGGAAAGGGTCTGTGGCAATTTAAAGTAATGCCGTTTGGGTTGCGCAATGCTCCAGCAACGTTTGAAAGGCTGATGGAACTTGTAGTTACCGGGCTAATTGGCGATGCCTGTCTGGTCTACTTGGATGACATCATCATCGTAGGACGGACGTTTAAGGAACACCTTCAAAACCTGGAACGCGTGCTCATGAAGATTCATAGTGCTAACCGCAAGTTGAGTCCGAATAAATGTTCACTATTCAAACGGCAAGTTAACTTTTTGGGGTTACATACCCCGTAGTATCGGAAGAAGGTATCCGCACGGATCCAGAGAAAATCGCCGCTGTCAAGGATTGGCCGGTTCCAAAAGACAAGACGCAGGTTAGAGCATTTTTGGGTTTGTGCTCCTATTACCGGCGATTTGTGAAGAACTTTGCTGATATAGCCAAACCTCTGCACAAGTTAACCGAGGAGAAGCGACATTTCTGCTGGGATGAAAGTTGCAATATCGCATTCCAGGAGCTCAAGGAACGTGTGTGCAAAACACCTATTTTGGGACACCCTGATGCAAGCAAAGAATTTATAGTTGACACAGACGCAAGTGATATAGTATTGTGTCACAAGACGCGAATTGCTAGCTGTAATAAAGTCGTTGCAGCATTTTAGCAAATGTCTTCTGGGGCGGAAATTTCATTTACAAACTGACCATGCTGCACTAAAATGGCTATTGCAGTTTAAAAATCAAGAAGGACAAGTTGCGAGGTGGATTGAACTACTGCAGGAATATGACTTTGAGATCGAACATCGCAGCGGGAAATCTCATGGCAACGCAGATGCATTGTCAAGAAGACCTTGTCCTGAAGATTGGCAAACATTGTACTAGGCAAGACAGTAAGGAAGTGGTATCCGTGAGGATGCTCAGGGCAGACCACCTCAGCAACGAGTGGAAGGACAGCTTACAACGTGCACAGCAGGAAGATCCGGACATCAAGCCGATTCTGGAATGGATGAAGGCCAGGGCTTCCAAGCACAAGTGGAGCGACGTCTCAGCAATGAGTTCGACCACTAAAAGCTATTGGACCCAGTGGGACAGCTTGCTGCTTCAGGATGGATTTCTGTGGCGTAAATGGGAAAGTGTTCGGGGAGACAGCTGTCATTTGCAAATGGTTGTCCCTAAAGCTAAAGTACCGGATGTTCTACAGCTGTACAATAATGATTGTTCAGGAGGCCATCTGGGAGTTAAACGAACTCTACTGAAGATCCGAGAACGGTTTTACTGGGTACACTGTCGAAACGATGTCGAGGACTGGTGTCGCAAATGTACAAGTTGTGCGGCTGTAAAGGGACCTCAGACTCGTAGTAGAGGTGCATTGAAGTTGTACAATGTTGGTGCACCATGGGATAGAATAGCCATTGACGTGGCGGGACCGTTTCCGTGAAAGCGGTAACAAGTATTTCATGGTTGTGATGGATTACTTCACTAAGTGGCCAGAAGTCTTCGCCGTTCCAAATCAAGAAGCTTCAACAGTTGCGGATAAGCTAGTTCATGAAGTCTTCTGTCGTTTTGGAGTACCTTTAGAGATTCACAGCGATCAAGGAAGGAATTTTGAGTCTCAAATATTCCAGGAAACTTGCCGAGTTACGAGTACTTACAAAACAAGAACGACTTCTTATCACCCGCAATCTGATGGAATGGTAGAACGATTTAATCAGACATTGGAGAGGTACCTAGCAAAAGTTTTAGACCATCGGCAACGAGATTGGGACAAGCACATACAACCGTTTTGGTTGTCATATCGAAGCGCTGTTCACGAAAGTACAGCAGTGACACCAGCTTTCGCAAACTTTGGAAGAGAATTACGGCTGCCTGCAGACCTGATCACCGGGATACCACCTGATACCCCACGCAGTATAACCGATTATGCAAATGACTTGCGGAATAAAATGAATGACATTTATGAGCACGTCAGACAATCGGGCCAGCAAATGTCTGAGAAGATGAAAACCCGGTAAGACCGCAAAATGAACAATAAAGGGTTCGACGAAGGTTCACTAGTGTAGTTGCACAATCCAGTCCGCAGCAAAGGGAAATCTCCTAAGCTTCAAGCTAAATGGGACGGCCCGTACCGGATTGTAACCAGGATCAACGATGTAACCTACCGGATACAGAAAGGAGCAAGAGGGACTCCTAAGATCGTCCATGTGGATCGCCTGGCGCGTTATTATGGGGCCGATAATGCTCGGGACGAGCATGTCTTAGGAGGGGGCAGTGTTGCGCGGCTAAGTTGACATCTGGCACTAGCGCCATCTAGTGTCGGGTAACAGAGCGAAGAGAGAGCTTTTCAGAAAATGACATCACTAATCTTTCAACCGACAGCGCCATCTAGTATCGAATTGAAGAACTAAGCTTTCTGGAAGCCCCAAACTCGAACTTTCTGCGCTTGGTCGGTTGGCGCGCGTATTTGCTCGAATATTCTGGAATATTCTTGATGTTTTCGTGGAAGAGCCCTGGCACGGCTCCATATAAAGGCGTTGCAATACGCGATCGGGGAAGTATTGAATTCGGCGGGACAAGCGAAGCTTCGGAGCGAAATAAAGTGAATCAGTGTGATTAATTATTGGTGTTTTAAGTTTTAATTAGTGTAAAGAAAATTAAAGTGTTAATTTAGGTAATTCTATCGGCAATTTTTATTGTCACGAACCTCAAGCTCGTAACAATACTTTTGTATTTGAAATATATTTCTTTATTATATCATGTACGTATTTAATAAATATATAATTATATGTATGTATTTCCAAATAGTTTGAGTACACATTTACCCTTTCTCACATATCCTCTGCTATGTGGTTGCCTGGTCGAGATCGCTTGTAAGCGACAAGGGCTCCAATTGTACCTTTTTTATTTATTTTTTTCTCTTATTTATCGGTGTACAATAAAGTATACTTCATTCATTCTTTCATTCATTATAGATGTATATGTTATAGGCCAAAAATGATTAATCAAGGCACTATTTATAATGCTCGGGCAATATTAATAATGACAAGTCAAATCAGGCTACGTAATTAATAACGATTTAAGCTTTATTGTTTATCACATTGTCAGTGTTAAGTCATTTTTGATATAAACCTAATCTAATCATGTCAATCACTTTTTAAACAGTGAGTTAAGTAATAGGTAATGTATCAAATCTGAAATTATCAAGTGTTGCCGCAAAAAAGGGTATTCCTTCCTTTGCGTTACGAAGAAAAAAGATCTTTGATAAAAAATCTTTTTTCTCGTTGTATTAAGGGTTAAATACGTAACATGGAATAAAAAAACTAACCTTTCCTATCTTTTCATTACCCTGCCTAAAAAGCAACGGACTTTTTTTATAAATTTCAGTCAATTTAATAATTTCAATGGTTTTTATTAAATTTGATGATGTAATGGTAACCATTACATCATATTTGATCAGATTGATAGACCACAAATCCTCGCAAAAGAACACCGATTCCTACCAAGGATGATACGCGATGCTATTGAAATTAAAAAACATCCATATTTTAATAGAAAAGATGGATTGGTACTGCCATCTGCTTGGGATTCTATAATTAACAAAATTAAATCGAAACCCAAACATACCACTGAAAGATTTTAAGATACTGTAAGCTTATTCTGCGTAGATCGGACCAAAAATTAATGTTTAAAACTGAAGGGAGCCGGGCTAACTATGACATTGGGACGTCAAACATTCTTAAACGCAATAATATCCGTATAAATAGTTCTAATTAATGTGTAGTGTTCGAGTAAATATAATAAATCATTGATCACATTTTCAAAAACATATACCTAGATTAACGTTCTGTGAAGGAACGTCGTATTTCAGAATTTGTATTGATTTTGACGAACATGTTATAAATATAAAGTAAGGTTCACTTTAGGTTAGCAGGAATCCTTGTGAGAGAAAAACGGGATAGCTCTGAAGTGATTTATTTGCTAACTATAAGAGCAAATAATTTGCAACTGTTTTTAATAATAGTAAATGAAGTTTTTTGCAAATATAAAGATACAAACATGCATACGTAAAGTTGGTGATTAATGCACCATATAAATTTTTTAAATTCCAATAATCATTTTAAAATGCAAATATCTAATTTCAAGGTAGTTTTGAAAATGTATAATATATACCATGAATTATTTATATGGACTTAATGTTAAAAAAGTTACCCACATATATTTGATAATATTTGAAAACAACGGTTTTTAACCGTTTAAGGGTGGAGGGGGTGTCTCGAAGTCCTGTTTTCTCACACGTATCGGCCAGTATGGCGGGCCTGACCACAGTCCGCGCGAGCAATGCTGAAGAGATGCTTCGTAAACAATTCGACGACAAACAAGACGTGCACACGGCGGCATGGTAAGCATTGGAAAATATAGTTAATAAAATAGAAAAAGATATATCCAAAATAATTCGGAATATATTCCGATTTTTGTCGTTTGTCTTAACTCCAAATAATTTTTCTCTTTTACATATAATAAACTTTTTTACATATAACTTTTTTACATATAATAAGGGTGACAAACGAGCACACAGTCCACCTGATGGTAAGTGGATGTTGTGTCCCAGAGATAACTACATCTTTCTTCAATTAAGCAACAAAATTCAGATGCGTTGCTATCCCTGAGTACTGAGATGGAATGCGTCGTATCCAGTAAAAAGGGTCTCCGGTTCTCTACATCCATCATAAGAAACACAGTAGTATTAAGTTGCTATTTTACGCTGGTATTCTGTAAGAACGTGGTCCTTCTCCGGTCGGGCTGATCCATTCGTGCTACGACCATCATGTAGCTACAACATGGCATCTACAACTCAAAGAAATCATACAAACGCTTGGGATTCGTTCTCAGAAATGCTAGTTTCCTAATAATAGCGCTTAACATTCAGTGCTCTGGTACGATCGCAACTCGAAACTAGTTGTTGTGTTTTGGAATCCATATGAAACATATACTTATATTCTTCTTTCGGAAAATGTCCGAAAGGTCTTTTTAAGATATCTCTACGAGCACCTTTTTAAATTTACTATCCATATTTATATCCCAATAAAATTCTCCTCAGTTTTTTGAGTTACAACTCACTGCAAGCACGATAAGTGGCGAGCGTATCAACAAGCTATCATGGCGTGTACAGAATATTTCGCGGCAAGATAGACGCTCTAGACCTGAGTGCTAAATTAATATAGTCGGTTTTACCGTTTTAATAAAAAAATAATTAAAAAAACATCTTGGTTCGGATTGATGTTTTTTTCTAAGGAAGTCATCCTTTAAATTTGACCTATACTATTATCGAAAACATGTATGACCGTGAAAGAAAAAGGGGAGATATTCCGCCGGGCAAGGTGATATGCCCGGGGAGCTACCAACGCTTCATGTGATAGTTCGGAGCTGTTGTATATATGGCGCATTACTTCGGAAATTTGATAGTACACATGTAATACATACTTGTTTATTAACTTCTCTAAGATGCTGACCTACTTTAAATTATGTAAAAAAAATCTTTATTTCAGGTACTTGACACTAACAGCAAACACCGCTTTCTCGATATGGTTAAGTCTTATATCGGCCGTCTATGTCATCACTGTGGCCTATTCGTTCCTTTTGTTAGATAACGGTAAGATTTTACATATTATTAGATTATTGGTAATAAAACCAAAAAGTAAATGCAATCATAAAAACAAGCTATAATTAATATAATTTATTAGGAATTGAAAATTAAATAAAAATGAATTTTTACAACTCTTTATACATCCATAGACCTAAAGGATCTGGCAGTGTTGCTCTCTGATCTGTACATAACTACCAACTAGTCTTAATATAGTATATAATTTATGGATTCCTGAGTATAATTTAATTTCACTTTAGTTTTCATAATAAGATGTCCCCTTTATCAAAAACATTCCTATACAGTACGCTTAACATATTATGAAACTGTTCTTGGAACTTTGAATTACTTAGTTGTTATCAAAATAGAGCAGTGTAACGCACCCTTATCTTTTGGATAGATGGACTGTTTCTGATATAATATTTTTTATCCTCTTCATCATAAAATACTCCATCCATATTGTGAAACCCTATACATAGTATTACATATCTTACTGGCTATGGAAATAGGCTAGCAAATAAATAAATAATAAAGTAGTGGTGTGTGCTATCTCCAAACCACTTATTTATTCTTTATTAGTTAGACACGGGCCCTTCCGTTGTAGCCTTAATCGACATGGTTGGTAAGTCGATTAACGTTCGCTGTATCAGACGTTACGCATCTTTAACGCTGCTGCTTGTCGCCAGTATATTGCCAGTCCGGTCCGAGTCCAGTCCGAGTCTGGAAGTCCGATCAGGTACCTCGCCGTATACGGTCGCCTGCGACCCAACCGTGAAGTGCTAATAATCGGTTGAGCCCATGCGCTCCCAGTGCGTTAATTCAAGAAAGAAGAAAGAAGACAAAGACATTTTACCTGTTCGCGGAAGTGCTTTGTGTCGTTGTGCGCATTTACGGCCGCCAGGTGCATCGAGCCGCCGGCCCATTGTTCTATTGTTTAGTGCTAGTTAGTGCCCCACGTTCTGCCGGTTTCCAGTTACTGTAAGTAGTTTATTGCACACCCGCTGCCTCAGAGGCAGCAATTCTATTGTTTCAAATTCTGTGTTCGCTTGTCGCATTAGGCGACAGCTAGGTACACACCCTAATGTACCAACGCACAAGTTGTATAAGTGTTCGTTGAGGCACACACCTCCAGGGGGGGGGGCTTGATACACAAGTATTTATTTTTATTCACTAACACGATGGCGGCTATCTCAATAGCCGAACTCACCGACTTTTTAAGTCGAGTGTGCCCCGACGTTTGAGCTACGTTCCTAGCCCAACGTAATGTGCCCACCGCAGAACGCCCCGTACTACGGATCAACGACCCTATGTCGCTTTCGCTGAGCTTTCACATATACTCCCTCGCGGAGGATCGTAACCGTGTTGTAGTTCGCGGAATCCCTAAAGAGCTCGAAACTGAGCACATCTTAAGTGATCTTAAATCGCAAAACTTACCAGTCCGAAAAGTGCACAGGATGCACCACGCGACCGACAAAAAACGGTACCTATATCTTTGCCTTATAATATTGGACCTAATCTCCGGAGGGCAAAGAAATATTCAATATCACCCGGATCTGCAACCTCACGGGGATTGTAGTAGAGTCCCCGTGCAATAGGGGCATTGTTGGCCAATGCCACCGATGCCAATTATACGGCCACTCGGCCAGAAATTGTTTCGCCCGGCCTAGGTGCGTTAAGTGCCTCAGCGATCATGGCACACCCGACTGCCCCCGAACGCCCGAGTCAGAGGGCCCTCCGTCCTGTGTTCTGTGCGGTGAAGAGGGACACCCAGCGAGCTATCGCGGGTGTACCAAAGCGCCGCGTAGGAAGCCGAACGGAGGAGCAATCCGACGCGGGCGGGCGGGCAACTCCAGTAGGTCGCGCCCACGGCCTTCTGCCTCATCAGTCGCACCAACCTCGGTGCCGCAACCCGCGCCCGCTCAGGCTACAGCCAAGCACGCCCCCGTTAAAGGGACTTCCGGACAAGGCCCAAGCCCTCCGGTACCTTCAGCACCTAAACCTAACGCATGGGTTAGGCCCCCGGTGATCGTCAGCGCTGCCGCTTCACTCCTCGCCAGGCCCAGAAGCCCAAACCCGCCCCTCAGGCACCGTCAAACATCGACACCGACCTTTCGTTAGTGTTCAACTTCGCCAGCAATATTAATGTGGCCGAAGTCACAACCTTAGCCCGCAAACTTCGCGAAGCCAGTGCGCCTAAGACAATTTTTTGTTTTTATAACCAAAATGGAAATACGACCTATAGGTAGAACCAAGCCTAGGTCTCTGACTGTCGCGTACTTTAATGCAAACGGTATCAGAGATCAAAAGGAAGAGATCATGTATTTTTTACGCGACCATGATTCGACATCATGCTAGTGCAAGAGACCTTCTTGAAACGTGGTTTGAGCGATCCCAAAATAGCCAATTATACCTTAGTATGAAATGATAGGCTGACCGGATCTAAAGGCGGCACCTTGATTTACTACAAAAGGTCCTTGCAATGTGTACCGATAGATACTCCGCCGCTTACTAACTTAGAAGCGTCGGTCTGTAGGATAGCACTTACGGGTCATCCGCCAATAATAATTGCATCAGCATACCTCTCTCCCTTAAAAAGTATACTAGATTTCGACATAGGCTCTATTAAACCTAGGCCCTAGTGTATTAATCGCGGGAGACCTAAATAGTAAACACGTTAGCTGGAATTCTAACGTTAACAATCCTAACGGAATTATTTTAAGAGACTTCACGGAGAGACTTAATTTCGATGTTATCGCTTCCGAGAGTCCAACACGCTATCCTTTTGCAAATAACCAACATTCGGACGTCCTTGATGCTAAAACTGCTAAAAGACATCCGACTGACTATTAATTCGATAGAGACTATTATCGAACTAGTCTCAGACCACAGGCCGGTCGTTTTACAACTGGGCCGGTCGGCAGGTGAGGTCCCTCAGACCAAAACTATTGTCGACTGGCGTAAACTTGAGGTCAAACTTAAGTCTACGAACTCCCAGCATTTGGATACTATACCTGACAAGATAGACTCGCTAGAGGAGGCCGACACGGCTATTAGCACCCTTTCGACTCACCTCACATCAGCGGTCCAAGAATGCTCCCGTAAGGTTCGTGTGTCGAGCGATCAATACACGAAACTTCCGGCGGATGTTCGACGGCTGATTAAAACAAAGAATTCCGCGCTGAAAACATATGACCGCTACCGCACGGAAGCCAAATAAACTTCGGGTACGTTCTCTACAAAACGAGATTAAACAACGAGTAGCCGAGTTTAGAAACGATAGCTGGGATAACCTCTTAGAAGTTATCGAACCATCTCAAGACGCCTTCTGGAAATTAACGAGAGCTCTTAAAGCCGATAAATCCTCACCGATGCCGCCTCTCGTGAGGCCGGACCACCCTGATCTCGTTCTAGACGATCTCGAAAAAGCCGAATGCCTAGCCGACAGTTTAGAGTACCAGTGCATGCCATCCACCGCACCAACAGATCCCGCTCACTTACTAGAAGTAGAAACGGAAGTAGAACGTAGGGCTGCGCTGCCAACAGCGGGCGAACCACTCGATCCTGTGACAGTAGATGAAGTCACAGAAACTATCAAAAGCCTTAAGAATCGTTCAAGATCAGCCCCTGGGCCAGACGGCATCAACAACAAGGTGATCAAATCCCTTTCGGCGCCACTTATTTACCTCCTTGTAAGAATATTTAACACTCTTCTCATGAACTGCTCCTTCCCGGACATCTGGAAAGAAACAGACGTAATAGGGATCCCAAAACCGGGTAAACCGCGTAATCGTCCCTCTAGCTACAGACCCATTAGTCTGCTCAACACTTTGGGTAAACTATACGAGCGCATTATTCACAAGCGTCTCCGTCATTACACCTAATCCAACAGACTCCTCCCAGACGAGCAGTATGGCTTTAATTTAGATTAAATTAAATTAGAACCAATCACTCATGTACCCACCAGATTCATCGCCTAACAGAATACATTGTGTCTGGCTTCAACCAAAACCCGATAAGGAAAAAGGCTCGAAACACGGGAGCCCTCTTCTTTGATGTCGCGAAGGCGTTTGACAAGGTCTGGCACGACGGCTTGATTTACAAGCTTGATGTACAAACTAAACGTGCTTGATAGGCTCGTGCACATCATACGAGCCTTCCTTTCGAACCGCAATTTTCGATATCGAGTGGAGGGAACTCGTTCTTCGAAACGCTTCCTCAAGGCCGGGGTCCCACAGGGCTCCGTCATATCTCCACTCCTCTTCACACTCTTCAGAGTGATATCCCTAAAGACCCCGTGGTGAACACCGCACTCTTCGCCGACGATACGACACTCTATGTGTCAGACTACAACAAAAATAGACTCTCGTTAAAGCTCCAAAAAGCCACTAATCGCCTAGGTGAATGGTTCCGCCATGGAGAATAGACGTGAATCCCGAAAAGAGTGTAGCAATATACTTTCAACGGAATTCAACAGCAGGTTCTAAACCAAAATGATTTCCCTACACGACCGCCCAATTCCTTGGGAAAAATCGGCCAAATACCTAGGCGTCACGTTCGACTCCCGCATGAGTTTCGCGACACACATAAGTGTAGTACGCAACAGAGCCAAGTCGGTCATTGGCCGTCTACACTCTCTCGTTAACAGCAGGAGTAAGCTGTCGCTAAGACACAAACTCCGACTGTATAAAACCTGCGTTAGACCAATTATGTCCTACGCTAGTGTAGCTTTCGCCCACACGAATAAGACCCACATTTTAAAACTCCAAAGTGTCCAAAACTTTCTCATCCGAAAAGATCCTGATTTGCACAATGATTGTGAATTACCCTCTATCTCCGAATACTTCAAGCAGATGTCTCAACGCTACTTTGATAGAGTAGAAACCCACCCAAAACCCGCTAGTGACAAATGCAACTAACTACGTTCCGTTAACAAACGTCGCGCCCTATCTCCGTAGACCGCGAAATGTGTTAATAGAACCATCTCAACCGCTCGATTCAATCGACCCAAA